TTTAAAACAGATTATCTGCCTTGATATTCTGGGTTATATGGCTGTATGCAAGGGCTCTCGGTCTACACTGCCATATAATCCAGTTCAAAGAAGATCATCTGAATTTTGTACAGCTATTTAGAAGGGGCCCACACTGCATCCCAGGATCTGATCCCAGGCACCTTCCACACATCTGAATAAAAATTTATTTATTCACTAGCTGTATCCACCACGCGTTGCTGTGGCCAACCTTCCCTCCCTCTTTCTCTTCTTCTTTCCCCGCTTCCTTCACTCCCTCTTTCCTTCTCTCCTTCCTTTCTTCTCTACCTTTTTCCTTCCTCCCTTTTTCTTTTTCTTCCCTTCCTCTCCTTTCGTCCTTCTCTGCCTCTTTCCTTCCTTTCTTTGCTTTTTGCTTCCATCCTTCCGTCTTTCCTTCCCTCTTTCTCTCTTATTTTCTTTTATTCCTTTGCTCCCTTTCCTTCCTTTTTTTCCTCCTCTCCTTCCTTCTCGACCCCTTTCTTTCCATCCCTTCTCTTTTCCTCTTTCTCTCCTTTCTTCCTTCTCTACCTCTTTCCTTCCTTCCTTCGCTTTGCTTCCATGCTTCTTCCTTTCTCCCCTTCCTTCCCTCTCTCCTTCTTCCTTTCCTTTTTTCTCTATTATCATTTAGCTTTTTGAGGTTTTAAAGTCCTTTCCACTGTTTTTTTTTGGGGGGGGGGGAGTTATGAGTGATGGTAACTTGTTGGTCTGTTAGGGGTGTAGTGTCCAAATTCCGTGTAATTTTGTCCAGTGGTTTTTGAGTTATGTTAATCCCACAAATGAACATTACATTTTTATTTATATAGATTTATTTATTTGAAACATTTATATTCCGCCCTTCTCACCCCCGCAGGGGACTCAGGGTGGACTACAACATATATGCAGCAAACGTTGAATGCCAGGACATAAAGCTATAAATATACACAAACATTAAAATCACTTATATCTATGTATTGTCGAAGGCTTTCATGGCTGGAATCACTAGGTTCTTGTAGGTTTTTTCGGGCTATAGGGCCATGTTCTAGAGGCATTTCTCCTGACGTTTCGCCTGCATCTATGGCAAGCATCCTCAGAGGTAGTGAGGTCTGTTGGAAATAGGAAAATGGGTTTATATATCTGTGGAATGACTGGGGTGGGGCAAAGAGCTCTCTGCTGAAGCTAGGTGTGAATGTTTCAGCTGACCACCTTCATTAGCATTTGAAGGCTTGGCTGAGCCTGGGAAAATGTTCTGTTGAGAGGTGTTAAGATGTGCCTGGTTGTTTCCTCTCTGCTGTTTTGCTGTAGTAATTTTAGAGTTTTTTTAATACTGGTAGCCAGATTTTGTTCATTTTCATGGTCTCCTCCTTTCTGTTGAAATTGTCCACATGCTTGTGGATTTCAATGGCTTCTCTGTGTAGTCTGACATGGTGGTTGTTGGAGTGGTCCAGCATTTCTGTGTTCTCAAATAATATGCTGTGTCCAGGTTGGTTCATCAGGTGCTCTGCTATGGCTGACTTCTCTGGTTGAAGTAGTCTGCAGTGCCTTTCAAGTTCCTTGATTCGTGTTTGGGCGCTGCGTTTGGTGGTCCCTATGTAGACTTGTCCACAGCTGCATGGTATACGGTAGACTCCTGCAGAGGTGAGAGGATCCCTCTTGTCCTTTGGTGAGACTACACATGTCAGACTACACAGAGAAGCCATTGAAATCCACAAGCATGTGGACAATTTCAACAGAAAGGAGGAGACCATGAAAATGAACAAAATCTGGCTACCAGTATTAAAAAACTCTAAAATTACTACAGCAAAACAGCAGAGAGGAAACAACCAGGCACATCTTAACACCTCTCCCAGGCTCAGCCAAGTCTTCAAATGCTAATGAAGGTGGTCAGCTGAAACATTCACACCTAGCTTCAGCAGAGAGCTCTTTGCCCCACCCCAGTCATTCCACAGATATATAACCCATTTTCCTATTTCCAACAGACCTCACTACCTCTGAGGATGCTTGCCATAGATGCAGGCGAAACGTCAGGAGAAATGCCTCTAGAACATGGCCCTATAGCCCGAAAAAACCTACAAGAACCACTTATATCTACTTTAAAATCAGCTGTTTATAACCATCTCAAAATCCCACATTATCTCCTTTGAACTAAAATATATGGCAGCGTGGACTCAGATAATTTTAAACAGTTCTGTGGAAGGGGCTTCATATATTCCAATATAAAGTAGATAATCTGGGATCAGATCCTGGGATTAAGGGCAGTGTGGAAGTCTCATTGACTGGGATGGACTCTGAAGCAAATCTCCCATTTGACTGATGCCACTTCCACACAGTTGTATCAAATCCACATTGAACTGGATTATATAGCAGTGTGGAGTCAGATAACCCAGCTCAAAGCATATATTGTGGATGATCTGCCTTGATATCCTGGGTTATTTGGCTGTGTGGAAAGGCCCTGGGGGCCGGCCCTCCTTGCAGCTCTTTGTTGGTTTAGTTTTGTGCCACTTCAGGGCCCTTCCTTTTACTTAGGCGATCCCTCGTAGTCCGAGTAGGATTGTCTTCTAGGATCGGTGTACTGGCAGTGAGACCATAAGTGACTGTGGAGTGACTTGATTTGCATTTTCTCCCACAGTGAGGGCACTGGCTTCCAGGTGGAAGGCGGTCCCAGTTGGGGGTGGCTTGACGCGCCTTCCTCTTGGCACGTTTCTCTCTTCTCCCCCCCCCCCATTCTATAGCACTGCTAGTCACAGCTGACCTCCAGCTGGAGCGCTCAAGGACCAGGGCTCCCCAGTTCTCAATGTCTATGCCAGCGTTTTTAAGGTTGGATTTGAGCCCATCTTTAATTCTCATTTCCTTCCCACCAACAGTCTGTTTTCCGTTCTTGAGTTCGGAGTAGAGCAACTGCTTTGGGAGACGGTGGTTGGGCATCCAGACAACGTTGTCAGTCCAGCGGAGTTGATGGCAGAGAACCATCACTTCAGTGCTGATGGTCTTTGCTTCTTCTAGCACGCTGACGTTTGTCCATCTGTCTTCCCAAGAGATTTGCAGGATTTTTCGGAGGCAATGCTGATGGAATCGTTCTAGGAGTTGCATGTGACATCTGTGGACAGTCCACATCTTGCAGGCGTATTTATTTATTTATTTATTTATTTCAGAGTTTTCTATACTGACTTTCTCACCTCTTAGAAGGACTCAGCCCGGTTTACAACCATAAAAACATACAATCGGTAAAATATCATAGTTTATAATTACAATAACACATTTAAAATAACCACTATATTTAAAAAACTACGTTGGTCAGTCGTCATATTAAAAACAAGTATACCTCATCTTCCATCCACAATCCTAGGGTGCTGTCTCATTCGTCAAAAGCCTGTCTCCACAGCCACGTCTTCACCCGTTTCCTGAATGTCAGGATAGATGGGGCGGTTCTGACCTCCGGTGGGAGAGAGTTCCAGAGTCGCGGGGCCACCACCGAGAAGGCCCTGTCCCTCGTCCCCACCAGGCGCACTTGTGAGGCCGGTGGGACCGAGAGCAGGGCCTCTCCATACAATCTTAGTAGTCTTGATGGTACGTAGGGGAGAATACGTTCGGAGTAGTGAAGAATACGTTTGTATGGCAGGGTTGGGAGGACAATAGCTTTATAAACAAGCACCTACGGATGTCCCGGTCCTCAAACACTCTCTGTTCCATTAGGAAAAATGCTGCACTCCCAGAGCTCAGGCGGTGTTGAATTTCAGTATCAGTGTTGACTTTTGTGGAGAGGTGGCTGTCAATGAAGCAGAAATTGTCAGTGTTTTCTAATGTTACACCATTAAGCTGTATTTCTGGCATTGGAGAGGGATTGGCTGGTGACTGCTGGAAGAGCACTTTAATTTTCTCGATGTTCAATGACAGGCTGAGCTTCTCGTATGCTTCTGCGAAGGTGTTTAGAGTGGCTTGTAGGTCTTCTTCTGAATGTGCACAGACGACGTGGTCATCAGCATATTAGAGTTCTATGACAGATGTTGTTGTAATCTTGGTTTTGGCTTTCGGTCAGCTGAGGTTAAATAGCTTGCCATCTGTCTGATAGATGATTTCCACTCTGGTGGGAAGCTTCCCGTCAACAAGATGAAGTATCATAGCAATGAAGATGGAAAATAAAGTTGGGGCAATAACACATCCCTGTTTGACACCTGATTCCATCTTAAATGGGTCACTTTGGGAGCTACTGCAGTCTAAGACTATTGCTGTGCCACTTCAGGGTCCTTCCACACAGCCCTATATTCCAGAATATCAAGGCAGAAAATCCCAAATTATCCTCAGACCTGAGGATAATCTGGGATTTTCTGCCTTATTTATTTATTTGTTGTGTCAGAGCAACCAGTCCATTATATTACATTTCTAACAGAACAAAGCAAACAAACAGAAAAATACAAAACTTGTGAGTTTGGTAGTTGGTTAAATGTCCTTTGACCAGTATCTGGCCTCTGGTGTTGCTGCAAGAAGGTCCTCCATTGTGCATGTGGCAGGGCTCATGTTGCATTGCAGCAGGTGGTCAGTGGTTTGCTCCTCTCCACACTCGCATGTCGAGGATTCCACTTTGTAGCCCCATTTCTGAAGGTTGGCTCTGCATCTCGTGGTGCCAGAGCAGTCTGTTTAGCGCCTTCCAAGTCGCCCAGTCCTCTGTGTGCCCAGGAGGGAGTTTCTCATTTGGTATCAGCCATTGGTTGAGGTTCTGGGTTTGAGCCTGCCACTTTTGGACTCTTGCTTGCTGAGGTGTTCCAGCGAGTGTCTCTGTAGATCTTAGAAAACTATGTTTTCTGCCTTGATATTCTGGGATACAGGGCTCTGTGGAAGGGCCCTCAGTCAGCGCCACCAGGCCTGAGGGCCTTGTTATACTGGGAAGTCCCTTCAGAAGAGGCCCCCTCCCAAAGTTTTATGGAGGAGGATGTTATGGTGGCACATTCGTGAGGCCCGGTCCCGCGCGCCTTTCCTGGGAGGCTCCCTGAGGAGAAACTCCTTCGCCTAGGCCCGCCTCCCGGCCCTTGGCAACTGCGCCTCCCTCCCAGCCCTGCATTGGGGAAACGGTGACCAAGCAGGTGCGGGGTGTCGCTTCCTTCTCCCCCAAAAGTCCCCTGAAAACCGAAAAAGGAGGAGTTGGAGGAGGAGGAGGCGAAGGAGAGGGCGCGGCCTGAGGCGCCTCCTGGGAGGGCGAGCGCGCGGCCGCCATGCCAAGAGGTCGGCTTCGGGCGCGAGGCGGTTCCTGAGCGCGGGGAAGGCCAGGCCTCTCTCTCTCCCTTTGGGGGTCTTGTCAGTAAGTAGAAGGGAGACACAGGCCGACGCCGCCTTTTCCTCTTCAGGGGCCTTTCCTCGGCCTCAAGCCTCTTCCAGTAATGAAGCCTGTCGGGGAGAAACATATAATAGGCCTCCTTTGTGGAGAGGAAAAGTGGGGTAGCCATAAACATAATCTTAATAATAACCCTCAGGGCCCGTCCACACAGCCATGTCACCCAGAACATCAAGGCAGAAAATCCCACAATAGCTGGTTTGAAATGGGTAATTTGAGGGCCCTTTCACACATCCATATAACCCAGGACATGAAGGCAGAAAATCCCACAATATTTTTTTGAAATGGGTAATTTGAGGGCCCTTCCACACAGCCATATCACCCAGAACATCAAGGCAGAAAATCCCACAATATCTACTTTGAAGTGGGGTTATCTGAGGCCCCTTTCTCACAGCTGAATAAAATCCCACATTACCTGCTTTAATAATAAGAATAACAATAACAACTTTATTTATATCCCACCCCACCACCCCAAAAGGACTTGGGGCATCCTGCTTTGAACTGGATTGTATGGCCATGTGGACTCATAACCCAGTTCAAAGTGGATATTGTGGGATTTTCTGCCTTAATATTCTGGGATATAAGGTAAAGGTAAAGGTTTTCCCCTGACATGAAGTCCAGTCGTGTCCGACTCTGGGATGTGGTGCTCATCTCAATGTCTAAGCCGAAGAGCTGGCGTTGTCCATAGACACCTATTGATCTACTCACATTTGCATGTTTTTGAACTGCTAGGTTGGCAGAAGCTGGGGCTGACAGCGGTAGCTCATGCCGCTCCCCGGATTCGAACCTGCGATCTTTCGATCAACAAGCTCAGCAGCTCAGCGCTTTAACCCACTGCGTCACCCGGGGCTCCATTCTGGGATATAGTGAAAGCCTATTTGCACTATTTTATTTATTTATTCACTGTATCTGTATACTGTCCTTCTCAGCCTTTCAGGCGACTCATAAGTGCTGCTGTGCCATGATACTTCCCTGTGGAAACTTGATTCAGGAAAAAGTACAACAGGTCCTCAGGACCCCTCCACGCAGCCATATAACCCAGAATATCAAGACAGGCAATCCACAATAAATGCTTTGAACTGAATTACCTGAGTCCATGTTGCCAGATAACCCAGTTTATCTGAGTCCACACTGCCATATATCCCAGTTCAAAGCAGATTTTCCGCCTTGATATTCTAGGATATAGGGCTGCGTGGAAGGGCATTTAGGCCACTTCCACACAGCTTTATAAAATCCACATTGAACTGGGTTATCTGGCAGCATGGACTCAGGTAATCCAGTTCAATGTGGATTTTATAAAGCTGTGTGGAAGGGGTCTAAATGCCCTTCCACGCAGCCTTATATCACAGAATATCAAGGCAGAAAATCTGCTTTGAACTGAAATATATGGCAGTGTGGACTCAGATAACCCAGTTCAAAGCAAATATTGTGGGATTTGCTGCCTTGATATTCTGGGATATAGAGTTGTGTGGAAGGGTCCTGAGATTCTGCAACTTCCAGGTCTTCGATGGTAATGGAAATATTAAACCCAGGCTCTCTTGATTCCAGCATCACCATGAAGGATCCAAAAAGTGTGCTGCTAAGTTGTGTTGGTTTTCCATTGGCATGCCCAATGGAGTTCATACATTTAAACATTAAAGATAAATTGATAATGTCTGATAAAAGGAATGACTTTCCTCCTGGTTATGTCTATTAGATACTCAAGGTCTATTTCACAACAAAGCTTTAAAAAAGATGCCCAAGTTCATATTCAAGAAACAAAGGGCCCTTACACAGAGCCCTATATCCCAGAATATCAAGGCAGAACATCCCACAATATTTGTGTTGAATTGGGTTATCTTCGTCCACACTCAGATAATGTGGGATTTTCTGCCCTGATTCTGGGCTATAGGGCCGTATGGAAGGGCCCTGAGTCCACACTGCCATATACTCCAGTTCAAAGCAGAAAATTTGGGATTTTATTCAGCTATGTGGAATGGACCATAGAGTCTTGGAGGTTATATTCTGCTATATAACCCAGAATATCAAGGCACATAATCCACAATATCTGCTTTGAACCATGTTATCTGAGTCCACACTGCCATATAATCCAGTTCCATGTGGATTTTATACTTTATTGTTGTTGTTATTACATTTGTTATTTTATCCTATTTATTATTATTATTACATTTACTCTATTTTTATTGGAAGGGTATGCAAGTTTTATGTAAAAATTATAATTTTATGTAAATATTCAAAAACATTTAACCTCCTAATGCCTCAATTAATGTAATTTTATTGGTATCTATTTTTATTTTGAAATTTACCAGTATCTGTTGCATTTCCATCCTCAGCTTATACTCGAGTCAATATGGTTTACCAGTTTTTTGTGGTAAAATTAAGTGCCTCAGCTTATATTCGAGTCAGCTTATACTCGAGTATATACGGTAAACAGGAAATGATACTTTCAAGCCAGGAACAAAACTTTTTCATATGTTAGTAAAGGTAAAGGTTTCCCCATGACATTAAGTCTAGTCGTGCCCGACTCTAGGGGGTAGTGCTCATCTCCATTTCTAAGTTGAAGAGCCGGCATTGTCCATAGACACCTCCTAGGTCATGTTGCCAGCATGACTGCATGGAGTGCCATTACTTTCCCGCAGAAGCAGTACCTATTGATCACACATTTGCATGTTTTTGAACTGCTAGGTTGGCAGAAGCTGGGTCTAGCAGCAGGAGCTCACCCTGCTCCCTGGATTAGAACTGCCAACCTTTCGGTCAGCAAGTTCAGCAGATCAGTGGTTTAACCCGCTGTGCCACCAGGGGGCCCTTCTCAAATGTTACATAGTGTAGTAATAGGAAGGCGGCACAGGTGGAGTATCCCTCATCTAGTGATGCTAGGGGTTTGTTTTGTTTTGGAATCTTTACACCACAGCTTTCCAAACATGACATGTGGGTGACACGCTTTTTTGGCGCACATCCTTTTGTAATACAGCTGTTCTGCCTCAGGCAAACCAGATGTTAAACCAACCCCTTATGAGAGATACGGACACATACATAAATTGTAATTGTGACATGTATAGGGATGCAGCACATCTCATGGAAACCTTTCATTTATATATTCTAGCTTGGGTACCTGGCAGTGCCCAGGTTATTTCAAAAAGGCATTATTTGTTTTTGGATGTTAGATAATATCAGTTTAGTAATTTGTAATGCTGTTTCTTGCTGGGGGCGGGGGGGGGGGGTCAGTCTTTCCTTTTGTTTTTTATAAGTGTGTGTGTGTATGTATGTGTGTGTGCGCGCGCATGTGTGGATATGGTTTTGGATAGCATAGGGAACTATTACCTCCCCTGTAACATTTGTTTTGCTGTCTGCGGCCCTGTTTAGAAGATATCGCCTGACTTTCTGTCCCTGTGATTATTGGATTTTGAAAATTTTGGCATCTTGTGGAAACAAGGATTGGTGATAAAGCTGGAGTCACATTTTAAAAATGTCCCTGTTCTGACTTACATCCACATTCAACTTAAGAACAACCCTACAGGGCCTATTATGTTCATAATTTGAAGACTACCTGTATACCTTATACAGGTAATTGTACACACCACATTTGCAATAATTCTATGTGTGAGAGAAAGTGTACAGATATGGTGTATACCATTCCTTCCGGGCTATGTGTATATGCTATAAATGAAAAATACACTTCAGAAAGCGAACCATCAGAAAGCAAAGGTATCACTATTTCAGCCATCCATGTAGACAATTTGAGATTTTTGGGGGGCCTATTTCAGGAATTTTTTTTAGTGTTTCAGATTTTTGAGGAAGGGGTGCTCAGCCTGAAATAACAGCAGCACCCTCCCTTCATTTATAGCGTGCGTAATTTGGGAATCAGTTTCCATTAAAGAGGTGCTGTCTTGGAATAAACATGCTACCAATGATTCTAGTTTATTTATATATTGTGTGTGTGTGTGTGTGTAATGCTAGCTTATTCTGCAAACATTGGCTCCAACTATGTAATTCCCCCTCACCTGCAATACCTATTCACATTTCTGCCAGGTTATTATATGATAAAAACATTGATTTTCTGGTTATATCACTGTTCTTCATTTCCAACATATGATGACTCTAAGGCTAAACGGTCACATGGTTTTCTGGGGCCAAGAACATGTGACTTCTCTAGGATTATCCAGTAGGTTTTTGTGACCAAACAGGGCTTCAAACCTTAGTCTTGGCCTTAGAGTTATAGGCCAACACCCAAACCATGTTAATACTTTATCTCTCTTTACTTTAAAAAGAAAACATATTCCATGTAAACAAATCCATGGTCCCAGAGCTGTCCAGGGCCAAGTACTGCAGTTTAAGGTTGCTTTTCATAATTTAAGACAAGGTCTTTATTGTACAGTCTCTATGCGCCAAATGTAGAATTTTATGCAGTGTCCGTATAGAATTATTACTTCATTTTGTCTCAAACTGGTTTCAGGATTTCCTGTGTTATAGGAACTTTCTTTAGTAGTAGTTTGCAACTGCATTCAGTGGTCAATGTAGATATGCTCTGTATATCTTAAATTATTCCTGTTTTATGCCTCTTCTGTGTCTAATCAGAGAAAGCTTAGAAAGCTTTATGTATGGTATATTCAGCTTTACATATGTATATAATACTAAGTTCTGTAAATGTATCTCTAAAAACATTGTAAGAGGAAAATTTAACTTGAATTTCATTTGAATAATTAACTGGCAGAGAACTAAGGGTTCACATGTAAAAAAAATAGAGTGTATATATGCACGCGTGCATTCACACAGCTAGTTTTATTTTGGTATATTACGGTATTAGGGAATTAGGTAGAGAACATATTAAAATCAATTTCTTTGCAGATGCTATAATAGGGATATTAACGGACCCTGTATCAGATATAAGGGAATTAAAAATTATTTTAAAAGACTATGAAATGATCTTGGGATTGAGAGTTAACATAAATCTGAAATCATGTATTTAGATGTAAATAAGACAGAAAAAATGGAAATAGATTGACAGGAATAGGTATGGACACAAAGAAGTTAAAATACTTAGGTGTGGAGATGCAAAAGCATATAGATAAAATGGTAGAAAAAAAATAATGAGAAAGCATGGAAGAAAATATCCAAGATAATTAAGGGATGGAAGAATAAGAATTTGGGTATTATGGGCAAAATAAAAGCAGCTAAAATGTTCTTAATCCTAAAATTAATGTATCTATTTCAAATCCTTTCATTAGAAATTAATAAAAGACAACTTAATATATGGAACAAACATTTAAAAGAATTTTGGAGAGAAGAAATCTAGAATACATACATACATATACATATACATATACATATACATATACATATACATATATATATATATATATCAATGGAATTGGACAATGCTTGAGAATAATGAGATGCTGATGATGTTGTTTTTATTGCTTTTGTGATGTGTTGTTTAATGTTTTTATCTATATTATGTTCTATGTATACTGATTTGTTGGAAACCGCCTTGAGTTGCCAATTGGCGGAGAAAGGTGGTATACAAATACAGTCAATAAATAAATCATAAATAAATAAGAGGAGGTAGGATGGGGAGTACCAAATTTGGAGCTATGTTATGAGGCATCCCAACTAAAATCATTACTAGAAATTAAGGATGGGAAGAGAGAAAAATGAATTAGGTTAGAAAATGAGGCTAACCAAGATCAAGTGAGTTACGGGGTATTTACACATAATGTGACGGCAGAAATTTAAAAAACTTACAGTCCCAGAAAGGTAATATTAAAGATATGGAAAAAATGGCAGCCAGAATCGATGCCAGTAACATCTAAATGGACACCTCTAGAGTGTCTATACAAGAAAAGGATTGGCCAAAAGTGGTGGAAAGAAATGAGGAATAAAGATTTATACAGAATTAAAGACATGTATGCTGTGAATGGCCAATTAATACCTTGGATAGAATAATGGAAAGGACTGGAAATAGAAATTGGCTAGAAGTATTGGGACTACATAATAAACTTAAACAAGGGAGATATGGAAGGAAAATAGAGAAAGATGATAAAATGGAACAATTAAAATACACACAGAGAAATTAGAGAAAGGATTGGCAGGACTATTTATTATTTATTATTTATTTACGCTATTTGTATACCGCATTTATCAGCCGTGACCGGCGACTCAATGCGGTTTACAGTAAAAATTGTGCACACTAACAAACGACACACATATAAACATCAACGCCTCACATAAAATCAGATTCCGTTCTCACATTCCATTACCGTTCCTTGTTCAGTTATGCTGTCATTCCTGGATTTAGTTGCAATTGCACAGCTATCCGAACGCCTGCTCAAAGAGCCACGTCTTAACCCTCCTCCGAAACACCAGCAACGAAGGGGCCTGCCTGATGTCCGCTGGTAGGGCATTCCATAGCCGAGGGGCCACCACCGAGAAGGCCCTGTCTCTCGTCCCCGCCAACCGCACTTGTGATGCCGGCGGGACCGAGAGCAGGGCCTCCCCGGACGATCTTAACGTCCTCGCCGGTTCATAGGTGGAGATGTGTTCGGAGAGGTAAGTGGGGCCGGAACCGGACTAATATACAAACCTATGGTCAAGGACAGAGTATATACAGTAAAGACAATACAAACTAAATGACGGAAAGAAGGGCCATTGACAAGTCAAACAATAGCTTAATGAAGGGGGGTGATCTGACATGTATGTATATTTGTGGAAGAGTAGATGGTATTCCTTCTATTAATAATTATGTTAAAGGTATTATAATGTATTCAACTGTTTCTCATATTCGGAAAGTGTACAGACTGAAGTTTGGAATATGTGCAGATTTATTTAAACACAACTGATTAATCATTTGACTTTTTACTGAGCAGCTGAAAAAATGTATAACACAAGCCTTAAGGAAGATACTGTGTGTTAGACAAGTTCAAAACTAGAGCAATTATGTAAATTCCATCAGAAAAGAAACAAAGATTTTAAGACTTATCCATGCATCACTTGTGCAATCTTGTTGAACTTTGCCCCATTGTTCCACACTAATATAAGCACCAGTTCCTGGAACGGTCTTCAGACATACATAACCTCACCTTAAAGAGCTGCTAAAATATGCAAGCATTTGCATGCTTAGAGATTGTATGCATTAGATCATGGAAATGTGGTCTTGAAACATTACATTGTTCCTGCTTGAATTTCTAGTTGTCTCTTGATTTATATTTCTGGAAATTCTTTCTTTTTAAGCAAATATTCATGAACACTCTCCTTGAATGTGAAATCAAGTGTTCCCTAAAATATTTGAAGTTTTATTTGTGTATTAAAAGAATAATCTCTGCAAAGGAAGGTTTGTGATCCCTTCTCAGTAGGTCTTAGCTCTTTTGAAATAATATAGTTGTGAATGGGATAAATATTTGTTTTTGGTATCATTTTAGAAAATTATCTCATCAGTATAAAATGCTTCTATCACCGTGTTTAAATAGTACATGAGTCATTCTGGTGTCACAAGAACATATTTTAATTCACTAATTAAAAGAGACTAATAGCAAAAATGCAGATTGTTGTGTCTTCTGATCTGAGTTCTCTGTAGTCGACCATCATGATAAATAGACAACGGTAACTTAGTACAGTTTCCATTACAAAATGAAGCAGGCGTGTTCAGTATATCTTCCTGGAGTGAATTCTAGAAATCGATTTTGTCAGTACCAATCAGGTATTATGCAAGAGTTGTGTGTGAAGCCAGCCAGGCAATCTTACCTGGGTATCTAAAATGAAAAATGGCAGGGGAGTGAGTGTAGGGGAATAACTGTTTAACCCTTTTATGCCACTTCCTTGCTCCAAATCAGCCCTGCCAAACTGCTCTTCTTGCTATGGAAGAGAAGCATGTTTTGTGTTTATCACCCCATTGGATAGAAAGTTGCTGGAGGATTATTCATGATAAAATTTCACATTCTTCTCCCTTTTGCTGGATCTGAATCTCTGTCCTGTATTCTTTTTCTAGTTTCTTTGGGCCCTTCCACCCAGCTCTGTATTCCAGAATATCAGGGCAGAAAATCCCACATTATCTGAGTGTGGACGAAGATAACCCAGTTCAACGCAGATATTGTGGGATTTTCTGCCTTGATATTCTGAGATATAGAGTTGTGTGGAAAGGCCCTTTGTTCCTTGAATATGAACTTGGACATCTTTCTTTTAGCTTTGTTGTGAAATAGTCCTTGAGTCTCTGATACACATAACCAGGAGGAAGGTATTTCCTTTTATCAGACATTATTCATTTATGTCTGTTTAAATGTAGGAACTCCATTGGGCATGCCAATTGAAAACCAACACAACTTAGCAGCACATTTTTTGGATCCTTCATGGTGATGCTGGAATCAACAGAGCCTGGGTTTAATACTTCCATTACCATTGAAGACCTGGAAGTGGCATAATCTCAGGGCCTTTCCACCCAGCCCTATATCCCAGAATATCAAGGCAGAAAATCCCACAATATTTGCTTTGAACTGGGTTATCTGAGTCCACACTGCCATTTATTATTATTATTATTATTATTATTATTATTATTATTATTATTAGCGACATTTATATGCCACCCTTCTCACCCCGAAGGGGACTCAGAGCAGCTTACAACACACACACGCACACACTACATTATACCAGGGGTCCACAAACTTTTTAAACAGAGGGCCAGGTCACAGTCACTCAAACTGTTGGAGGGCCGGATTATAATTTGAAAAAAATAACAAATGAATTCCTATGTCCACTGCACATATTTGTAGTGCAAAAAACACTTATAAACAATACAATAATTAAAATGAAGAACAATTTTAACAAATATAAACTTATTAGTATTTCAATGGGAAGTGTGGACCTGCGTTTGGCTGATGAGATAGGATTGTTGTTATTGTGTGCTTTCAAATCGTTTCAGACTTAGATTGATCCTGAGCGAGGGCCGGGTAAATGACCTTCGAGGGCCGTATCCGGCCCCCGGGCCTTAGTTTGAGGACCCCTGCATTATACCATGAGCACAGTACAATATCAGCACTATACATCACTATATTGTACTATACAATTATATTGTAATAGCATTAGTAAAATTACATGTAATATAAAAAATATAATAATAATAATAATACATTATTATTAGTAGTAGTAGTATTATTAGTATTATACTGTATTACATTATAATATTATATATATTATATTCCAATTCAAAGCAGATTATGTGAGATTTTCTGCTTTCATATTCTGGGATATATGGCTGTGTGGAAGGGCCCTCAGACCTGTATCTAACACATCCCCTTCTGCGACAGAGTTCTTGCCCACTTTTTTTGGCAGTATAGAGAATCATGCAGTTTTCCGGTCCTTGTTGGATTGCAGCTTCCAAAAGGCCTTACCAGGATAGTAAGCAGTAAAGGATGTTGGGAGTTGTAGTTCAACAGCATCAGAGGGGAGGGATCCGTTTCTCAAGAATGAGAAGAGCGAGAGTATGCAATAGTCTATATGTTATGACAACCATTAGGCATTTAGCCTCTGCTCTGGTCCAGGTCGGGGTTGCCTCATTGGTAGGAGTGATCTGGATTTGGAGGCACCTTGGTTTGGAGGCACAGAGCTGACTGTAGCCTTAGCATTTGCAGTATTTATTATTGCAGAAGCTGTGCAGAACAGACACAGGTTCTCTGACTTCTTCCAACATTTTAATTGCAGTCTTTAAGCACACAATCACCTTCTCATTTAATGTAACACAAAGCACTTGCATCTTCTAAGGCACAGAAACAGGTCAAGCTTAGTGAGATGTGGAAAGTGTGGTTTAGCTCTGAATTGCAGATATGGCTGCTAGCTCAGTCAATAACAAGGTGGAAAACTTAGCCTAAAGCCTTGCGTTTACTAAGAGCCTGCTCCATTGGCTGGATCAAATAAGTTGGCTGCTGTGTTCTTATTTTGTTCTCTTCTCTTTCAGAGTTGCTCTTGTGGAGTTTTACTTCAAGAATGGAATTCTGTGAAGATGGGAAATAATTTTTGTCACAAATATTGTTCCATTTCCCTCTGTAGCTTCAGAATTCAGCTGTGACGTTTTTGACCACTAATAGAATAAGGTATGTAAGCTAGAAGTAGGAAATTTATTTTTAGTTTGAAGCTATCTTGCCTCAGTGGTAGTCTGATGTGTTGATGGAGTGTTTCTGTGTGAGTGACATGCAGAGCCAAAGTCAGTGGAGCTACCTCCTTTCCCATTCACTTTCCTCCTCATGGTTTCTGTGATTCACACAAATAGTTTTCACTGTGCCTGTGCAGTGCAGCACTCAGAACCTTCTAGAGCTGATATATAAGCATTTTGGTGGTAGTGCTGCCTCCCCTGTCTTGTGACCAGCCTGATTCCCGATCAAACACTCAGTTTGCTTTCGTCTGGTTCCGTAGCAGCATCAAAGGAAGCGTTTTGGTTTTTTTTCCAGGTTATACTATTTCTGGTTTTTACAATATATATATATATTTATTATTTTATCATGGTTTAATACATTTGTTATACATTGTTTGTTTTACAGCAGATACATATTATTCAATACAACCTACCATACTTTTGGCATCTAGTGTTATTTTTCTGCTTATACATATTATCTATCCCTCACCGCTGTGCTCCGCTCCCCCCTCCCAAGCCACTGCTTTTACATATCATCTGTCCAAAATTTTGATTCTTCTTGTGAAGGTAACTTTCCTTCTTTATTTTTTAATTCTTTTTCAATAATTTTTCTCCATACATCATCAGAATCAGTTGGTTTCCATATACCTCTTTTAACTTTTAATATACATGTTAGCTTATCATTTATTGCCAATTTCCATACTTCTATTTGTATATTTATTTCTTTTTTCCCAGTTCCTTGCTATAAGCAGTCTTGCTATTGTTAATAAATTTGTTATCACTTCTTTATCCTCTTTTTTCATTGTTTATTATTATATAATGATAATAAAGCTATACTAGGACTTCTTTCTGTTTTAATATTCATTATATCTTCTATTTCTTTAAATACTTTCCCCCAAAAATTATTTACATATTTACATTGCCACCACATATGTATATATGTTCCTGATTCTTGACATCCTCTCCAGCAATTTTTTGAATAGTTTTTATTTATATTTGCTATTCTTACTGGTGTTAGGTACCATTTCTATATTAACTTATAATAATTTTCTTTAACCCGTATTGATAATTTTTTTAGATGTCTTTGTCTCCATAATTGTTGCCACTCTGTTTCATTTATTTTTATCCCTAAATCTTCTTCCCATGAGGATTTTTTACAAGAAGCATTCAGTCCAAATGCATCTTGTCTGGTGATAAAGTAATGTTTGTCCCTACCTCTGGATACCATTCCTCCCTGGATTGCTTCATTCCCTACTCCAGAGCTTCCAAAGGCACTTGACACAGAGTTTATCACCCTATAAACTTAGAATCTATCTAAATAAAAATGTAATATTCATTTGTGGGATTGACATAACTCAAAAACCACTGGATGAATTGACACCAAATTTAGACACAAGACACCTATCAGGCCAATAAGTGACCATCACTCATAAAAACACAGAAAAACACGCCAGAAGAGACTAAAAAAAGCCAAAATACAAAAAAAATACATTACAACTCATGCTCATAACCACATATATACAGAAACACACATATATACACATATACACAAATAAATACACACACAAAACACATATACACAGACTGGGACACAGCAACGTGTGGCAGGGGACAGTTAGTAGTAAAATGCCAAATGTGATGCAGTTTATACTATTTTCATCAATACTGAATAAATTCATTTACTGATTTTTCTCTTGGACAACTTTTAGCATGCGCCCCACCCAGGTTTCAACAAGGTGTTCCTCTTTTTTCTTGTAACCATTACAGTAAATATTTGACTGCTCTAACAGGAAATGCATTGACTATTTTTTTTAAAAAACAAAGACATCACAATCGTGTTTATAACTATGTGGGTTAAATTTCCTTCCTGGTTACTAGAGCACTTCCTTTGCATCTGCTTATGAGAGCAAACAAGAAAAGCGGAACAGCTTAGACAAGTAACTTTTCATGTTGTGAGTAGTTGTCATTTTAGGTAGACTTAAAAAGCTATACAAATGAATCTTCTCCAGCTGCTCAGTTTCTGCTTTGTAACCAGGTAATCTTTTCTTCAACACCACACCTTTCTGTTTTCTCTTACTTGGCTCTTAGAAAATTGAAAGATATAATTCAATTATTCATGAAGTCCCAGAGTAGTTTTTTTGTATTCATTTCTTGTTCTAAAGTTTTCTGGAACAGAGGAAATGGAATTGATTGCCTGTTAATGCATTTATGTATTTGATGTTTGTTTTGAAAGAAGTTACTGTTAAACAATAACGTTCCTATTACTTAAGGGAACACTAAATCGGATGCTATCTGTCCATTAACTGTCATTTCATTTGGCATTGCAGAATTGAAATTGCAATAAACCATTTCTTACTTTTTAATCATCTGCGAGAAAAGATAGTGTTTGGGTTGCTGTGAGTTTTTCAGGCTGTATATGCTGCCGGAACTTGGCCATATAGCCCAAAAAACTCACACCAACCCAGTGATTCCAGCCACGAATCCTTCAACAAAATAGTATTTGCTAGGGACAAATTGAGGAAAATCCTTCCTTCTTTGCTTATGAGTTTCCAGTATGACTTTCCAGGATTTGGGGTTTGATTTTTCAAGTTAACTTTGAAATATGTTGACTTTAAAAATTACTTTGTGGTCACTGCATTTTTTAACAATGTCTTTAGGTTTCTTTATTCCAGATTGTGATGCTGTTTTAAAAATTCATAATTTTTATTTTGGTACTGTAGAACTTAACCACAATCTTTCTTGGATTTTTTGGTGGTTTAAATTTGCCATTATTTTTTACGCATGAAGCTAATAAATGGTTTCCAAGTGAAATCAAACTCTTCTCCAAAGTTGAGGATCTAAATCCTATTGTTAGTCCCAATGTTGAATTGGTATAAGTTAAATAAGTGTTGAATTTCCAAATTCCTATTTATTCAGTCATTTATTCTAGTTGAGATTAATAATTGGATTTACGCTAAGATGGAAGAAAATCAGAGGAAAGAAATTGTGTTTAACTTGTTTGAAAATTATTTTGGTGATTGTATTTAATGAAAATTCCACAGAAATATGCTGGTGCACAGAAAAATATTACCTAATCATTTCTTGTATTTTTTTAGATACCCTCTGGCATGGAGCTGGAGGTCAACGAGCAACCTGTTGTTATGAGAGACGACAACAAACGGAGGAGAAGGAGGATGAAGCCATATTGTACAGCCAGCAGTTTATCTGCATCAGAACTGATAACCATTGAATTTGTTCTACCCACAAGCAACATGTTAATAGATATAGCCAGCAACTGTACTGTAGAACAGATGAAAGCACAAATTTGGATGCGGGCAATAGAGCGGAATCAAAACTCGGACTACTACCATACATTCACACCAGATCAATTTGTTCTTCAGTATCAAAAGAAGGGTCAATGGTATGAAATTTATGACAAACATCAAATAATACAGACACTAGACTGCATATTGTATTGGAAAGTGTTGCAAAAGAAAATTGGCAAAATTCACGTGATCCAAAAGCAAAAGCCCACAAAGGAAGTTCAGGAGTTTCAAAAGCAACTCAATTATTTGATTGGCTATGATGTCACTGATATAAGTAATGTGCATGATGACGAACTGGAATTTGCTCGCCGCAGATTAGTCACTCCACGAACAATTGAAGTATCCTGCAGAGATCCAAAATTATATTCACTGCACCCTTGGACTACATACAAACCTCTTCCAGATTATATGCTTAGTAGAATTATCAATAATAACATTTTCATAAACATCCATAGAGGAACAACTAGCCAGAAGGTTAAAGTGGCCATTGATGACACTCCAGAAATGATCCTTCAGAGCTTTTTCACAAAAATGGCAAAGAAAAAATCTTTGATGAATATTCCTGAAGATCACAACGAGCTGGACTTTGTCCTTAGAGTGAGTGGCAGAGATGAATATATTGTAGGCGAGACACCGATTAGAAATTTCCATTGGATAAGACAGTGTCTGAAAAATGGGGAGGAAATTCACCTTGTCCTGGATGACCCCCCAGACCCAAATCAGGATGAAGTGCAGAAAGAGGAATGGCCCTTGGTGGATGACTGCACCGGAGTCTCAGGATATCACGAACAGTTGACAATAGATGGCAAAGATCATGAGCGGGTATTCACTATATCATTGTGGGACTGCAATAGGAAATTCCGTGTCAAGATAATTGGCATTGATATCCCTGTGCTACCAAGAAACACAGACCTTACTGTATTTGTTGAGGCGAATATTCAACATGGGCAGCAGCTGCTTTCACAGAAAAGAACGACTGCTAAACCATTTACTGAAGAAGTCCTGTGGAATATCTGGCTTGAGTTTGATATCAAGATTAAAGATTTGCCTAAGGGTGCATTACTGACTCTGCAGGTATATTGTGGCAAAGCACCAGCATCGTCCACTAAGGCTAATCTCCAGCCACATGATTCCCCCAGTCCCGATTCTAAGTGTAAAACCCAGCTACTCTATTATGTCAATATTTTGCTGATAGACCACCGCTCCCTTCTTCGGACTGGGGATTACGTTCTCCATATGTGGAAAATTTCTGGCAAAGGGGAAGAGCAGGGGAGCATAAATGCTGATAAGCTTACCTCAGCCACTAATCCAGATAAAGAGAACTCAATGGCTATCTCAATTGTTTTGGACAAGTATTGCCACCCAGTTGCTTTGCCCAAACACAAAATTGCAACTGATCTGCAAGGAGACCGGGCCAGAGCTGAAATGCCTAACCAACTGCGCAAACAGCTTGAAGAGATCATAGCCACCGATCTGCTTAATCCACTTACCCCTGAAGACAAAGAATTACTGTGGCATTTCAGATATGAAAGCATAAAGCATCCAAAGGCATATCCTAAGCTACTTAGCTCAGTGAAATGGGGACAACAAGAAGTAGTAACAGAAACATACCAATTACTAGCTAAAAAAGATGCATGGGATCTCAGCACTTTGGATGTTGGATTACCAATGCAACTCTTAGATTGTAACTTTTCAGATGAAAATGTGAGAGCCATGGCAGTGCAAAAACTAGAAAGTTTGGATGATGATGATGTTCTTCATTATCTCTTGCAACTAGTTCAGGTAAGGTAAATATACATTCCTCAACGTCTGTTATATGGTATATATCTGATTGCAAGCGTATTCTGATGTTAGGTGTGCTGTTCGGTTAGCTTGGTAAAATAGTGCTGTGGTAAATGTATCAACCAAACCCATTATTAAGCAGTGAGCTAATACACATATGCATGTCTGTCTTGTTGTCTGGCAACTGGATGTCTACTACTTAGATCTACCAGATTACCCTGCTATCTTTGAGGTGCTAACAAGGGATAATGAACATACTTATGAGACGTGCCATTCCCAAATGGAAGTTGCTTCTTCAGATTGCAGCTGATATCTGATGAGCATAGATGTATGAATCAACGCTAAATTTATGATCCAAGGTTAGCACCAGATTGGCACAACTACCAAAGTGACAGAACAACTTTCTAATGAGCTAGTTGTGTTTGTGCTCAGTCCCTACATTCTCTATCAATGTTGTATTAGTATTCTTGAGCCTGCTGTTTGAAGGTAAAAAAAATGCTAGAAAAATTAGCTGATGTATGCAGAGCAAGGATAAGAAATCCCAATCACTTTTTTGTGTCTCTACGAACTCCAAATTATTATTTTTTGCAGATTAAAAATGCCCCAAATTTTTCAAAAAGCCCTGTGAAAAATGCAACAACTTACTTTTAAACAACTAAATTAAATATTCTAATCCTCTCCTTACTGGAAAACCTAACTGAAGCCAGGAAACAGAAAAGAGAAGTGATGTCAGATCATTTCTGGGTTGTATTTTTGGGGCAGTTGTCAGAAATGATATCTAAAAGTCCTGAATTTAGCAAGAATCTTTCTGTTTATATAATTCCTCCAGATCTTTTTTCCACCCCATCCAAAGAAGGGAAAGGGAGAGGACCTAATGATCACTCAGTGCCTCAGAGATGGAAGCGATGAATAAACTAAAATGCAGTAGAATACACATGTGAAAAGTAGAATCAATGTAATGATTCAACTTTGATTCAATTTTAACTTTGTGTTTTTAAATAATTACAACTGTACCTTCAGTTTGCTTCTGACATGATAAATAAAAAAATCAACAATCAGAAGTATAAAACAGTAGGATAATGAGAGTAGGGACTATTCCAATTGTTAGAAAAAGATTATTCAGGGCTTTTGTGTTCAGCAAAAAAGAGAGAAGGGTGGAATGAGCTAAATTCCGTTTGTACAGTATAGGAAATTCCGGAACCTGGTTGCCACTGTAGGCTCCCTCTTCCATACTACAGCACAATTGCGGTATATTGCCACGATAATTTCCTGTGGAGTTCTGGAGTCTTCATTTGGTGAAATTCCAGAGTTCTCTGACAGATAATTTTAAATACTTTTCCCTAAATTGCAAATCTCGTGATTCCCTAGAATGGAAATACTACAGTTAAAGTGGAATCACACTTATAGTTGTGTGGTGTAACAGGGCAGAAGTAGGCGATTTTTCAGATACCTGGATGTAGCCTTTAGGGGTGTAAATGTTGTAACTAGTACTTTAAAATGGACTCAGAAACAATTTTGGCGCTAATATATTTGCAAACAATCCACACCATATATCTGACTCACTGGTCTGATGTATACTGTATATCTGATGCTTCCTTAGCAACTGCATTTGGAAACTGATTCAATTTCAGAACACTGTTCAGAGGTATTGTTGTTTCTTCTTGTCCATCAGCATGCAGTTCATAATCACCATAGATGATTAGGCAGGCAGCTAATCATAAACTAGATTTTTTTTCTCATTTTGCTAGTTCTCTGCTTTTACTTTAAATGAAGTCATATACTTTGCAGAAGTGCACATATGGAGTTTTTAGAAAATAATGTTTTTGTCTAGGTTGTTTTATTATAGAAGTTGAATGTGGCAAATTAGCAAATATTCCATTTTATATTTTTAAGCAGTAATAGAATTTGATCTTCTTGCTTGTGAACATTTGAAAGCAGTGTTTTTACTTGGTAGAAAAGAAGAATATGCTTGAAAGAAAAGAAAAAACATGATCCTTCAGCACGTGAATGAAAGATGTGACACCATTATCTGAAGCATGCAGAACACATTTTGCTATTGAATTGAATGAAGTAGGCTTAATGTTACCCTATGTGCAATTACAAATGTTTTGTAGACACAGGAGAAAAAGCAGAAAACTTACAAGTGAGGAGAGACGAGTTTACACATCTGTGTACTTATCTAAGGCCCCTTCTACACTGACATATAAAAGACAGATTATCTGCTTTGAAATGGTTTATATGGTAGTATAGACGCCTATAATCTAAAACAGATAATGTGGATTTATTTATTTCATATCAAAAGCACTGCATAAATTAGTATAAAACTGATAAAATAGAAGGAGTGCAGGTAGCTAAATATCTTTTGATCAAAAACGGGCAACAGCAATGACATTGTCTGTAGTCTCCAACAATTCCTCCTCTGTACATGAGGCAGGGCACAATGGACAAGCATACATATGCAGAGTTGTCTGTTCTGCTCCACAGTCACACAAGGTATGGGATTCTTTTTGTTGTTCATTCGTTCAGTCGTCTCCGACTCTTCGTGACCTCTTTTAGGTAGTGCCATTTTGCCAGGTTGTCTTTTGATCTGCCCACTTCGCTCCTGAGTCTATTCAGGGATTTCCAGGTTGCCCATTCTTGGTTGGCCACTGGAGGAAGACCCTCATGGGGGGCCATCCAGTTGGGATTTCCTGATTTAGCTGCCCAGAGGGATACCCTTGCTTTGGCTGGGGGGACGCCAAGAGGAGTGGTAGTTCTCATAAAGCTTTTCATTGATTTGAGTCTATTGGGTTTATGTTTATGTTTTTAAACATAATGTGGATTATCTGCTTTGATAATCTGAATTATATGGCAGTTTAGAAGGGGCCTAAGTGTAGCATGATAAGGAAGGACTAGGACAAGAATATCAGTGCTGTTCTCCAGTTTGCTTTAGAAAGTGTGGAAGCAAATATATAGCCCTCGATTACATGGTTGGAAATGTTTCTCTTGATAGAAAGAGCAGATGATCGCCTAACCTGTGTATGGAATGAAAAGGATTCTAGCTGCCTTTTCCCTTTTTCTGTTCTGCTAGAAAAGGGAAGGAGAAGATGGAGTATTATATTGGCATGTGTCTGATAAAAATAGAGTGATGTGAGCTGGAAGCAGAATGGACAGATGACTTCCCATATTTAACTGAGAATGGATCGATACTCTAGATTTCACTCAGTTTGACACCACTTTAACTGTCGTATTTGTGGTTTTATCGGGTTTTTTAGACATTTTGTGTCTTTAATTTGAACTGGTATGGGCTTGGAAAAAATACTTTTAGGATGTGGGATTCTTAATCCCAAGAAGTAACTGCCCCAGATGCTGGAGCTGATATATGAAAAGTATTACATGTTTGTGATGTACGTTCATTATATAATTTTAAAAAGGAGACATTTTTGTCCAGCTTTGTTGTCCACAACAGAACATATTTATGACTAAAATAGAAGTAAAGTGCGCTCTAATTAAAAAATATCCTTATAACAAAGGGTAAATGGCAATTACAAAGGTTGCTCCATTACTCGAGTGATAAATAGTGAGAAAGACAGCATGGCAATGATCTGTTTCCTATTATTGAACCAAATATAAGAGCTGCATTTAGTTCATTCTAACTTATGATGATAAATGAGTGATGCCTTTGAAATCAGGGAGTAGAGGTTTTTAGCCACGTGCCTCTGTGAATACATGATCTAACCAAGTGGGGCGTCAGCAGAGTCACTGACGTACTTGGAGACAGGCTTAGCAGCCACTAGTTCTATATCACTTCCATCTCAATCTTTTGAGTTCAGTCGCCTAGATTTTTATTTCCTATTTGAGACTATTGAATATACTTGGTGAGGGAGCTGCTGCAGATACTTGCTACAACTATGATAGGAAATCATAGTATTAGAATGCCTGTGCTCTTGCTGAAGGATGTGCATAGCTTCTCTGTTAGAAGAAAAGATCCAGCAACTTGAGGCCCATGTATATACTCTTCAGCATATAGTACATGCAGGTGACTTTGCAAGATTCGGCACTTAGAATGTCCCTGCCAATCCTCAAAGGAAAGTTATGGTAGTGACAGGGAACTCCCTGCTGAGGAGAACTTCGGCAATGGTTTGGAAACCTGACAGGATGGCTCAAAAGACGTGCTATCTCCCTGGGTCAAAGATCTGTGACATAACAGAGAAGCTGACTAGACCAATCAAGCCCCCTGATCATTACTCCTTCCTTTTGGTCTACCTGAGACCCAATGACACTGCAAGTAGTAGCCTCCAACTCTCTGATTCTATATAACTGTGTCAACCAATCTTATGTAAGTGTATGCCATTTTTTGGTAATTATGGAGGTTGTTATTCACACTTTGGCTCTTTGATGACAAAGGCTCTCCTGGTTTACCATAGAGTTGCTGCAGCCCCTCTTCCCATGATTGTTTTGTGTCTAGTAGAAAATGAGAGAGGTATTTGAGAGAAGCATCTGGCTATATCCCCATAGTTCAGTGGTTCTCAACCTGGGGTCCCCAGATGTTTTTGGCCTTCAACTCCCAGAAATCCTAACAGCTGGTAAACTGGCTAGGATTTCTGGGAGTTGTAGGCCAAAACACCTGGGGACCCACAGGTTGAGAACCAGATGTGGGATGCTAAAATAATCTGCTAAGTTCTCTGTGAAAGCTCAGCAGGCCTCAGCAGATGTTGTACTCACTTTGTGTCTGTCTAGGGAACACAGTCAGATACTTTACTGATTCCCCATCCCCTTGTGTTCACTACTGGGCACAGAACAGCCATGGGAGATTGCAATGGCTCCACGCTAAATCTGAGTGATGGTAATAATAATAATAATAATAATAATAATAATAATAATAATAATAATAATAATAATAATAATAATAACAACTTTATTTATACCCCGCTTCCATCTCCCAAGGGACTCAGTGCGGCTTACATGAGGCCGAGCCCACAATACATAAAATGACTTCTCAATACAAGCAATTAAAATAAAACATAGACGATAAACATATAACATTATCAATAGTGGTCTACTGCAACATAGTTCCACACGTGGAACTGCTATGCAGCATTAGATCACACAGGATTTCAGCTTTCATATGCAACAACTTTGGAAGACCATAACTTTCAATGAAGACATAATGTAGCATCTTATTTATTTATTTATTAATTTATTTATTTGCGTCACTTTTATCCTGCCCATATCAGCCCAAAGGCAACTCAGGGCGGCGTACAAATCGGCACAGTTAGATGCCATATAAAAAGACATACATCGGTTAAAAGCAAAAAAAATAAAAAATAAAAAAATCACATTACAATACATTTAAAAACCATAAAAGCAATAACAATAAAAATTATAAAAACTATATCTTCTTGTTCAAATTATTCTTGTGTAGACTAGCAATTCCAAGTAATTCACCAGTGGTAGAAAATCTTTCCTAACTTTAAATTTGTTTCTATTTACAGTTCTAAATGTTGAGCTTAATAAAGATCAGAACAACTAGGGATCACTATATCTGAAGAATCATTTTCTCTCATAGAAACTGCTCATCCTTTAAGATCTGAGGCTTGTTTTCGAATGTAGGACCCGGAGGAATGAGATCAATTCATTGAGGGCTTTAAAATAAATATCTTCTTGATACTCCTAGCTATGGTTGCTTATAAGGACAAAGTTTCATTTTCTTGAGCTGTTAGTGGTTTATTGCTTCAGCTCTTTTTACTGCTATTTTAAAATAGCTTTTATATTTTGAAAATTGTTCTGTTTTTATTGGTAGTACTGTGAAACTGGCTGTAGAGTCAAGTGGGGAGCAGAAAGACAAAATGAAAATAGTTTAAAGAAGTGATAAAGATATTTGGTATGCAAAGATATGATACATGCTTTTACTTGGACATTGTAATTTCTTGCCACAAATTAATGCTGCCTCAAAGGCTGAAATAATACTCAGTTCACAAGTAACTCAGGTTCTTAAAGTATGTGAAAGTGCAGTATGATGCAACTCCAGTTAGTGATGGTATTATAAAGAGTATGTGAGAGGAAAAACCCAAGATGTTTCATTTCTTCTCATTCATATGTATAGATGATAGAGTCATGGAAGAGTAATCAAATCAGAGTTGGAAGGCATCTCATCAGCCACCTAGTCCACTCCCCACCTCAATGCAGGGTCTCTAGCTGAAGCATCCCCAGCATATATAATAAGCTCTCCAAATTCTTTGGAATTAAGGCACAGAACTCCAGAAAAAGTAAAAAATAAAATAAATGTAGCCTTTTTTAACACGAGAAAATATATCTCTAGGAATATCTAGGTTCTCTGGCATAACTCTGTGATTAACATCTGCAGAAGTTGACCATAGAGTTGCAATGGAGGACCTAGAGATAACATTTAAATCAAATCCATGATGAATCAAATCTGTAAAAGTCAAAGCCACAAAATGTGAAAGGCCCACTGTATAAGTTCTGATCTTGGTCATGATTGTTTGTTTTTTTTTAGCTGTAAAGATTGACATGAATGCATGCATAAAGGTTTTACTCACCATCCCCCATCCTTCCTAAAATATCATTATGATATGCCACTTCGGGGAGTTTCAGTGATACAGGCAGTCCCCGAGTTAAAAACACTTGACTTACAAACAACTCAGAGTTACAAACTGGGATGAGACAACAAGAAGTGAGAGAAGTCTACCCCTAGGAAGGGAAATTCACTCCTGGAAGAGTTATTATCATGGGGAAAATGTGTCTCAATTTAAGCTTTGGTTCCAATCCTAGTTTCTACAACAAGACACATTTTTCAAAATCCAATTATCACAGGGATAGAAAGTAAGGCGAAATCTTTTGAACAGGGGCACAGACAGCAAAACAAACACCACAGAGGTGTTAACCCTTCCCTAGGTTATTGAAAGCTAAAAGAAAATGGCTGGGGTTACACTTAAAGATGTACTTGTTCCAGCTTACAAACAAAATCATCTTACGAACAATTTTACAGAACCTATTTTGTTCTTAACTTGGGGACTGCCTGTACTCACAGTGGCCCACATATTTCTCGGTTGTTCTAGTCTATGGGATTCTAATTGAGTTCAACATTTAACAGCAAAAATTGGCATAGACTGCAAAATCTGAAGTTAGTTTACAGCAACAATTCAGGCTTTTTTTTCATCCACCTGTTTACTGAAGTTGTTGTCGTCTACTCAAGACTCCGTGATCTGCCTTGCAATGTTCTCTCATAGAGCCATACATGAAGGCAATCTAGGTGATGCTGAAAATTCACCTGCCTTATGCTATACCTTTGTACTTCTTTTATGGGGCAGATGTTTATGTGATAGAGGCATTCAGAGACAGGAAATTACATTTGGTTCCTCTCTCCTCCTGCATAAATGCAACATCTAAAACCACTTAGAGAAAAAGAGAGAGTAAACACTGTGCGCCAACAATTCATATAAGACTAGCTGTCCCCTGCCACGCGTTGCTGTGGCCCAGTCTGTTGATCTGGAAAATAAAGTAATGAGAAAGTGTTGGTTTCTAATATATGTAATTTTTATGCTTGTGGGTAAACAGTATTTCTTGCTGTTTCTTTGTCAGTCTTGATGTGGAGAGTGTCTGGTTTGCCCAACCTGGAACATTCAACATATCATTGTCCTTCTTTAGGGGTCCCTTTCAAAACTATGATACTATATCTCTCTGTGTGTGAATCATATCTATCTATCTATCTATCTATCTATCTATCTATCTATCTATCTATCTATGGCCGGATGGCTCTTTGTCAGGAGGACTTTGATTAAATTTTCTTACCCTGATGAAGGAAGTTGGATTGGATGGCCTTAAGTATTTTCTGTTGGTCATGGGGGTTCTGTGTGGGAAGTTTGCCCCGATTCTGTCCTTTGTGGGGTTCAGAATGCTCTTTGATTGTAGGTGAACTGTGAATCCCAGTGACTACAACTCCCAAATATCAAGGTCTATTTTCCCCAAACTCCATCTGTGTTCATATTTGGGCATATTGAGTGCTTTTGCCAAGTTTGGTCCAGAGCCATCATTGTTTATGTCCACAGTGCTCTCTGGATGTATCTAATTACAACTCCCAAACTCAAGGTCAATGCCCACCAAACCCTTCCAGTATTTTCTGTTGGTCATGGGAGTTCTGTGTGTCAAGTTTGGTTCAATTCCATTGTTGATGGAGTTCAGAATGCTCTTTGATTGTAGGTGAATTATAAATCCCAGCAACTACAACTCCCAAATGACAAAATCATAATTTTTTGAGTGATGGTCACTCCTTGTGTTGTGAGGCGTTTTGTTGCCAAATTTTGTGTGATATCGTTCATTGGTTCTTTTTTTTGCTCTGTCCCTTTCCTGCTATAGAGATAAAATGACCAATTACTTTTTAAGGAAGTAATTGAAAAAAAACTATTGAATATCAGTACAGATGTGGACTGTTTATTAGGATTCTCTCTGAATTGTAAAAAAGTAATAAACATCTCCCTGAATGATTGGATAATTCAGCTCGTTTGCCCTTAAAGTTGTTTTACATTTGGATTTTTTGTCTTGTAGATTGCACAGAAATTTTACTTGTTTCCACTTTTTTATCTGTTCTTTAGGCTGTGAAATTTGAGCCTTATCATGACAGTGCGTTAGCCCGATTCCTTCTAAAAAGAGGTTTAAGAGTAAGTTTTTGGAATGCAGTCAATGAAATGAAATTTATAAATTTTGTCAAAATCTTTTGAATTCTGAGATTCATTTAATTTGGTGTATATTTTCCTGTGTTTCCTCTTTCTCCACTCATAGAACAAAAGAATTGGGCACTTTTTATTCTGGTTTTTAAGAAGTGAGATTGCACAGTCCATGCACTATCAGCAGAGATTTGCTGTGATCCTAGAAGCTTATTTGAGAGGCTGTGGGAAAGCAATGCTACAAGATTTCCTGAAACAGGTTCAAGTAATTGAACTGTTGCAAAAAGTGACAATGGAGATAAAGGCACTTTCTGCAGAAAAGTATGATATCACCCCTCAAGGTATGTAGAGTTTTTAGAACTATGTTCTTATCTGCTGTGTGTTTAGTTTTTACTATGCCTTTTAAGAAAGGTAAACCGTAAAGTCTTTCCAATGTTGGTAACGAGTGCAGTTGCAAATACTAAAATAGTTGCAAGTAAGTAAAAAATCCCCAATATTATATTTGCATTTTTGAGGAAGTTTCTGAAAATAACATGGGAAACCTGGACTATTGTCTGTCTAACCCAGTATTGTCTGCCACAATTAACAGTGGAGCTCCAGTTGTTGAGGCATTGATATTTGTTACTTATAAAACTAACATTTGCTACTTGGAAAACTTGTATGTATATGAAAATATACATAAAATCAAAATGAACACATGAGCACTATTTTATTTTTATTTTTTGCTTTAAAAAGGTTTTCAGAGAGCTGTCATTTGGGAGTGTTATTTTTGGAGGTTACAGCTCCCAGAAATCTGCAGTGGCCATGTTGGCTTGGGGATTTGGGGAAGTGTGACACCTCAAAGTAGTTTAATTTTTTTTATTGTAAGTCTTGTTTTTAACTACTTATTCGTCTAAACATGATTTTTTAGTTGTGTGATGCCCAATTTGTTGTACTGTTTCATTATGCTGATATCTAATGTGTTATGATTTGATTTATGGTTTGTTGTTGGCATTGAATGTTTGTCGCTGCATGTTGTGAACCACCCCGAGTCCCCATTGGGGAGATTGGGCACGATAGAAATAAGGTTTTATATATAGAAATAAAGTATGCTCGTTTGGGAAGAAAATTTCTTTCTTTTTTTATATTTTTCACATTTTCTGAGATGTAGTGGGTGAATGCTATTCCAAATACTGCCCTGTCTGTCTCCTTCAGTTTTATGTATCTTTTGTTATATGTATTTCTTGCAATAATTATTTAACTGACCTCCTATTTCATTGCTTTTATTGATGTTTACTTGCTGCAGTGACAATGTGCTTGAAAGTTTTTTTATTGTTATTATATTTTGCTCTTATTAGAAAGTAGCTTGATAACTGTTTTAAAACAAAAATATAATGATAGTAATTTTTTTGAAAGTGTCCTAATTTTTAGGCACACTTGATGTGTCTTGTTAGTCTGTTAAATTAGATAAGATACTAATAGTCTGAGCAGTAACTAAGTAGCTTCTGGACTAGATTTTGACAAAAAGATTTTATTGATTTAAGCTTGGATGTAAATGTTACTTGCCATGGTATACGAACATAATTTCCATTTGTCCCGTGTCTTGTCAAATAATTTGCAGACTTTATTTACCAGAATAAAAATTGTGTTGCATGCACATTGTGACTAACTTTTAGGCAGATAATTTCTGCGTGTTGAATCCTCTTTTAATTGTCTGTTTTTAGTAATTACACAGCTCAAACAAAAGCTTGAGAAACTGCAGGACAGCAGGTTTCCTGAATGCTTCAGAGTTCCATATGACCCTGGACTGATAGCAGGAGCACTGGTGGTAAATCTTTTTTCTTCTCTAATAGCAAACCTGGATGGCTGAATGCCAACAAGATCTGAGACATCTGTTTGGTAATCAGGAGAAGTCAGGGTCTTGGAAAAATATGAAATATCCTAAACAGCATTAAAAGTCAGAAATAGCAAATATTTTTTGAAAAAGAGAACGCCATGGAATGATTGTTGCCAGTTATAAACAATAAGTAATATATGTTTTTGTTACCCACCTCTCCTCATGACTTGAAGTGGGGTACAACATAGTTAAAACATAGAAGAAGTAAAAAACCTGAGGGAGGGAATTGGTGAATTGACTTACCATATACTTGTGTATAGGTTGACCTCATGAATTAGTTGAGGGCAGGATTGGGTACCAAAATTATAGATGTTGATGTGACCTTTGAATAAGTGAAGAATCATTCCATAGAAAGGGAGACCCCTGGTCACTGCCACCATTTTCCCACCCAAACATTTAAAAAATGGAGAAAGTAGAGGGCGTTAATGCTTCTTTTGTCCCTTTAAACTATAGTGTTAGAAATGTTAACTAGAAAAAAAAACTTTGCCTCAAAAACATTTTTAAAAACTTTATCATAAAAGCATTAATTCTTTGGCCTCTGCTTCCGATACTCTTAATTTCTCAGGTAAAGATGAGATTGACCACAGAGGAACATCTGCTAGGAAGTAGCAAATCTATGTTCATTACAAGGTTATTTCTTGGTTTTAAAAAAGCATAGTGTAAGCACTATGTAACATAATTTGAAAAAAATCTATTCCTGTTTTGAAAGTATTATTTCTCTTTAATTGTGCGGTACTTACTTTGGAAATCGTTGTTTTGCTCCAGAAACTTCGTTTTTTGACTACCACAAACTATGTTGGGTAACTTGAGGCTCGATGTGATAGTCACTGAAAAACTATAGCAAAATGTGTTGTAGGATGTCCCACAAAAGCAAAGTTTTTGCAGTTTAATAAACTTTTCCCATTTTTTAATGATAAAACAATTAAGAAAATGACATTTATAACCCAGGAACAAAAATCATGTTACATAGTGCTATGAAAAATGAAAATTTGTCAAGTAAAATAGAAGATTGGAGCTACAAGGTAACTTGAAATGATTTAGGGATCAAAGCAGAAGAGATACTAAAGAGCATGATGGAAATAGTACCAGATAAATGACCATAAACAGCGTTTGATTGCCAAAAGGAACAGGATTGATGGTAAAGATAGGGTTAAATCCGAAGTTGGTCATACTTATGGGACACTGATTGGAATTAAAGGAATATGATAATTGACAATTAACTGAAATCCACTTGATTTTAGTGGATCTACTTTACATATGAATAATGTTGGATTTAATACAAGCATGGATAAAAATAAAGTGTTGCAGAACCATTTTGGCTGTTTCTGATGTTTTAATTCAATTCTGTTTGGTTTTGGATGCGATTTTCAGCTCTGTTGCCCAGAATGGTAAACTGCAACCCTAAGTCACTTTGGCCATGTTTTCTTGAAGGAGCTGGGCTTCGTGGTTGATGAGAAACCAAATGGGACTCCCTAAGGCTACATGTAACTTTCAGGCTGTAAGATTTCCACCAGTAATCTACCAGAAGGATTCCTCCCTTTAATAGAGAAAGGGAATATTTCTTTCAACTTTAGGTTTAATCTCTGAATACATTCCGCAATGGTTTGCGCCACAGTCACATTCATTTTAAGGGAATGTTTTTAACATTTCATGGTGTCTTGTGAGTGTGGATGCAAAACCTAAATGGCTAATATATTAATCCTTGGTGGTTCAGTGCGTTAATCCACTGAGCTGCTGAACTTGTTGACCAAAAGGTTGCAGATTTGAATCTGGGGAGCGGTGTGAGCTCCCGCTGTTAGCCTCAGCTTCTGCCAACCTAGCAGTTTGAAAACACGCAAATGTGAGTAGATCAATAGGTAGCGTGACAGGAAGGTAACGGGGCTCCATGCAGTCATGCCGGCCACATGACCTTGGAGGTGTCTACGGACAACATTGGCTCTTTGGCTTAGAAATGGAGATGAGCACCAACCCGCAGAGTTGGACACGACTGAACTTAATGTCAGGGGAAAAACTTAACCTTAGTTTTTAGACATTAGTTCTGATTGTAGGAAATATATGAATGTATGTCTTTCAGATAGAAAAATGTAAAGTAATGGCATCCAAGAAAAAACCTCTTTGGCTAGAATTCAAATGTGCAGATCCTACATCACTATCAAATGAAACTATTGGCATAATCTTCAAACATGGAGATGATCTGCGGCAGGACATGCTTATTTTACAGGTATTTTCTTCATGGTAATTTCTTGAAAATCTAAGTTGTAACCTTTTTTCTGTTTCAGTTGGAAAATATTAAAAGTATGGGCATGGTATAGTAATTTGAGTTCTGAGTCAGGACTCTAGGAAACCAGAGCCTGCATTTCCCCTTTGTGGAAGCACACTAGTAACTATGAACAAGTCACACTCTCAGCCCCAGAAGAAAGCAATGGCAAAATCTCAGTTGACTATATCTTGCCAAGAAAATACAACAAGAGGATAGTGTTGTCATTTGTCATTGTTGACTTAGGCCCCATGTACACTGCCATGTAATGCAGTCGGTGTAGACTCTCATAATGCATATTGAACTGTGTTGAACTGAATTATATGAGTATATGCTGCCATATAATCCAATTCAAGATTCATTATAATGGTAGTATAGATGGGGCCTTGAATTCACATAACTGTAATAACAGTGTACAGAAGGAAGCAAAGGGGGTGTATTTTCTTTCTTCAGCCCTACATATGGTCTGTGAGATGACTTTCTTACAAGCGGTACTATTTTGTTTTGACCTCTGTAAAGAGATCTTACTCAGTTAAGGTTTGCAATGTGATATTTTTTCAAATTTTGTAATCTTAGGATTACAAAATTAGGAGATATATATATATATATATATATATATATATATATATATATATATATATATAAAAATCAGATTCCAGGTAATGGGCATTAATCCTTTTTTGTTGCTTCACTGCAGGATAGCCCAAAGTCATACTGCTTCCCGACATTCCTTTCCATGCCATGGTCATTGAGGATAGGAATGTCCATCCTTCCCATTCTCTGATATTGCTGCTTCCAGTATCATTCAGATATATGTGACCCCCAATTCACTGGGCTTCCTTAATCACGGACACAGAGTGATGTGAATGTAGTAGACATTTTATCTTAATCTCCTAAAGAAACTCCAGTCCTTCTCATGAAGCCAAGTTTTGGATCATTCTCTTATGGACAGAGAGGCACATCATATGGGGGCATGATATATATTATCTATCATTTGTATTCTGAATTCTGCTAGAATAGATGTTGGGTGTTCATCTCTTCAGGATTGTTCTACAAAATGGAAATAACTTCTTGCAGAAAACAGATTTGTAACTTTTTCAAAAGTCATGATCAAATATTTGTGTTTTCTTACTAGATACTTCGGATAATGGAGTCCATCTGGGAAGAAGAATCCTTGGATTTATGTCTGTTGCCATACGGCTGCATTTCTACAGGGAATAAAATAGGTAGTAAATTTTGATCAGAGTTGTAAAACATTGTTTTGCTTGGAAGAGTTGGAATATTTTGATTTTATTTCTTAATCTATTCTGATTCAACTTCTTGTGGTGCTTGGACTGGTAGCATACTTCACTGCTTCCTGACCTGTGAAACGGGAACTGATTTAATCTTGCATAAGATTAATGTCTTACACAAAGAAAGACAATGAATAGTGATCATAATGATGTCCTTTTCTTCATAGGAATGATAGAAATTGTAAAAGATGCTACAACAATTGCCAAAATCCAGCAAAGCACAGTTGGAAACACTGGTGCATTTAAAGATGAAATATTAAACCAATGGCTCAAAGAGAAATGTGTAATTGAAGAAAAGGTGAATACTTTTTTCCTTTTCTTCATTGTAATGTTTTTCAGGGTGGGATGGGTTGCATATTACTATAAGGCAGTGGTTCTCAACCTTCTAATGCTGCGACTCCTTAATACAGTTCCTCATGTTGTGGCAACACCCAACCATAAAATTATTTTTGTTGCTACTTCATAACTGTAATTTTGCTACTATTATGAATCGTAATGTAAATACCTTATATGCAGGATGTCTTTTCATTCACTGGACCAAATTTGGCACAAATACCCAAAATGCCCAAATTTGAATACTAGTGGGGTTTGGGGGAGGGGATTGATTTTTGTCATTTGGGAATTGTATTTGCTGAGATTTATAGTTCACATACAACCAAAGAGCATTCTGAACTTCACCAATGATGGAATTGAACCAAACTTGGTATACAGAACTCCCATGAGCAACTGAAAGTACTGACTTGACCTTGATCTTGAATTTTGAAGTTGTGGTTCACCTATATCCAGACAGCACTGTAGACTCAAACAGTGATGGATCTGGACCAAACTTGACACAAATTCTCAATATGCCAAAATGAAAGCACTACTGGAGTTTGGGGAAAATAGACCTTGACATTTGGGAGTTGTAGTTTCTGGGATTTATAGTCGACCTACAACCAAAAAGCCCCTTGAACCCCACCAACGATGCAATTGGGCCAAACTTCCCACACAGAATCCCCATGACCAACAAAAAATACTGCGTTTTCTGATGATTTTTGGTGACCACTCTGACCCATCCAGGGATCCCAACCCCCAGGTTGAGAAACACTGCTGTAAGGCATATATTATTATAAGGCAGGTATGGGCAAACTTCGGCCTTCTGGATGTTTTTGACTTATTCCCACAATTCCTAACAGCCTGGTTGTTAGGAATTGTTGCTGTTGTTGTTGGTGTTTTTGTTCTGTATTATAAGTTATTCTCTTCCAAAATATTTTTATTTATTTACTATATTTGTATACCGTCCTTCTCAGCCCACAGGCGACTCAGGACGGTTTAAAGAGGCAGCAATTCAATACCCACAACATCATAAAAACATTTAAAACATTAACATATAATATAAAATCATGACAAAATTAATAAAACATATATCATTTTTCTAAAATGTTAATATGTTAATATGTAGTGTATCATTGGCCCAGAAATTTTCTAAAATTGTGGGATGTCTTCCCTTGCGGGAAAGTAGTTGAGGTGATGCATGTTGGTGATGCTGAAATCAGCAATGGATAAGGCAAGACCTAAAAGTTGACGGGGCGGTATTGTTCTACTATACGGGTGGAGGTCACCAGAAGACGCTAGAGAAAAAAGGATAGTCCATTTTATGGGGGCAGAGGGTGGGTCGAAGGAGGAAAACCATTTCCCCCTGTTATCCTTTTACTCCCCCCATCCATGTCGCCATCGTGGAAACAGCCCTCGTTTTTGATAAAGCAAATGAGGAGGGAGAATAACTAGAAAAAATGGGGGAAATGGTTTTCCTCCTTCAACTTCCCCCTGTAAAATGGACTACCCTTTTTTCTCTAGTGCCCCCTTACTGGAATAGTAACGACAGGACATATATCTTCTTTCTTGCCATCTCCATATTCTGCCTATCCTATTGTCAAACAGATAAAATGCTAGAGGACCATGGAGGAAAAGTTACAGATTGGGTCAGGGTGAATATTCACAGGCTGAATCTGACCTAGATTTTGTTTCAGCCATAGATAGCAGTAGTGTGTGGAAAAGCCTACATAGAATACTTGACTCAAAACACTTTTGTGTTTCAATATTTTTACTGATTTCAGATCAGTGCTTCCAAAAAGCTGGCATTGAATCTGACCTGTGAATTGATGGTGGCTTGCTATTTTCTTTCACTTGATTTCTTCATTTCTCAATCCCTTGTCTGATCCCTTGTAAAATTGTCACAACAAAAGCATTCTAGAATGTCAAGATCAGAGTAAATTGTCTTGATGGTTTTAGGGAACTCTTTGAAAAACATTTTGCATAATTTTTCATTGATCAGCAAGCATGAAAAGGTAGGATGAGTGTCTTGCTTAGGCAAAAATTGATATTGACATTCCTGATTTTTAAAAAAATGCTACATCCTTATGGCTGTTTTTTATTAGTTTCAGACAGCAGTGGAAAGATTTGTGTACTCCTGTGCTGGTTACTGTGTGGCAACCTTTGTACTTGGAATAGGAGACAGACATAATGACAATATTATGATTACAGAAGCAGGTATGGATTTTACATCTGAATGACAATTGTTTCCATGAAATTTTGACTGAGCCTTTTTACACCTATTCTCTTGATATGAGTTGTTTGTTGTTCACGACACAAAATAAGTTATTTTTAAAATACTGCTGCTTTCACCATTTTAAAGGTACGATTCTATCCAATAGAATGTAAGTGTCTGTGAATGAGAAATAGAAAATGGAACACAGCTAAGGAGAAAAATTGCTAAAAGATATTTGTATGAAGACAGGTAGAGGAATGGGCACATTATGCTCTTCTGCACTGGTGTGAATTCAGCTGTACAACACTTATTTGTTTGTTTGTTTGTTTACGACATTTATATACCGCCCTTCTCACCCTGAAGGGGACTCAGAGCGGCTTACAAGATATATGTATACATACAACATATTATATTATTAGCATAGTACAATATCAGTATTAAATATTATTATATTGTACTATCTATATATAAAAAAAGAGAAAGGGTGTCCAACGGGACAGCAAAACTAAAAAAAAACCCGACGAAAAGTTACCAAATTTACCATGCACATACCTCAACCCACAAGGTATGCACAAACTGATTCAAAATTCTAAACAACATTTTGACACACTCACAATAACCAAAACCAACTGAGCATGCGCAAAGCTGCCTCGCCGCAAGTCCCCGGCGCGCGCACATGGCCAGCTGGCCAACGCACCCTCCACGCAAGCCACGCCTCCATCCTCCGTCGCCCAGCCCCTACCCTCCCATACGGCCTCTTTCCAATGCACCCTCCTTCTTCCCCCGCCCACGCCCCCTCCCTCCCCCGCCCCACCCTAAACGCCCATACCCCAACCTTACCTCCTCCCCCTCCTTCTTCTTCCCCTGGCCTTGACCCCCACAGCCACGCCCCCACGTTCACACCACACCCCCTCCCTCCCCGGCCACGCCCCCCGTTCACGCCACGCCCCCCACATTCACGCTCCGCGGGCCATCAACCCCAGCCTGCAACTCATCCTCCCCATGCCCTCCTCTTCCTTCCTCCCTCCCTCCTCAAACGGCGCCACTAAGGGCGATTTTATTTTTTTCTTTAACTTATTATTGTAATTTATACCCAGCCTACTAAACAACCCCCAACTTTTCATAAGATTTTCCAGGCATAGAAAGTCTAGCACGCCAGAATATACGGTAGAATAACAGCTCTATAATTATGTAATGTGAATGGATCCATAGTTCCTAATGTATCCTCAGCTGGAGCCTAACAAAAGAAAAGCGTGCAAGATCACTAACCTTGTTTGGTTTGTTTGTTTGTTTGTTTTGCACTTGTAAAGATGCATTTTTTTAAAAATATTCACCCAGTTTTGTATCGGTTTCTTCTTCCCAAGGTAATCTATTTCACATTGACTTTGGTCATATTCTTGGAAATTACAAAAGCTTCCTTGGAATCAATAAGGAACGGGTTCCTTTTGTATTGACGCCAGATTTTCTTTTTGTGATGGGAACCTCTGGAAAGAAAACCAGTCCACGCTTTCAAAATTTTCAGGTACAGAAGCAAGATCTATGAGTGAAAGTGAAGTTTTTAGAATAACATGTGGCAAACCAGATATAAATGCAATCTATAAATGCAAACATATTATCCTCCAGCTGCTATTTAAAAGTGACTATGTGCCTTGCCTTTTGATTCTAAGGAAGAGAAAGAGAAAGGAGAGAGATGACATTTGTAACGATTCTGGCTCACCTTGGAAAATTGGGACGTAACCTACCTTAAAGGATTGGTGTGTAAGCAGCCATTTTGTGGTTCTCAGGGACCCGCAGCACCAGTGTAGAGGCTATTTGCATGAGAGCAACCTGATTGGCCAGATGCAAATGAATGGGTGCCAAGCTTTGAAAGATGGGAGCATCAGAGTGCGTTTCATATTTATTAGTGGCAGCGGTGGGATAAGAAAAAGATCCACCCTGCCACATGAAAATCAGAGTGCGTTTCACAATATTATTAAAAAAAAACAAATGGTTGGAGAGTTCATGTTGTTTCTGTTTGCAAATAGACTATTGTATCTCCTGGGTTTTAAATTGCCTGTCTTGCTAAACTAGAGCTGCTTGTCCTGTATCATAAAATTTGAGAAAAACAGAGGAACTCGCATTCTGTCCAACGCTACTCTAAGAATGTTGTATTCTGCATAGTGATCTAAAAATAAAAATATGTGCAAGTAACATAGACAGATATTGTACAGGTAGATATACCAGGGCATTAGAGCATGAAAGGTTGCCTTATACAGAGTCAGTCGACCAGTATTGTCAACACTGAGCTGTCAATAAGAGTCAGTTCAAAGTTTCTGCTTCCTTACCTGGAGGCACCAGAGCTTAAACATGAGAGCATTAGATCACAAGGTATGTACTATATCTCTTCCCACTTGGAATTGGCTTCTGCTTTTTTTTACTTGCATATAAAAATAATAAGTGAAAGTATTCTCTTAAAATGTAAGAATAAAAATTAGGTGGTGTGTTGAAAAAGAAAAGGAGCCCCCTCGATTTCTGCCTTCGTTGTGACCTTTGAAATGCTGTTTCATAAACAATTTTTCCCACCTCCTGCTTCCTCAAGTGGATTGATTTTCTATTAAGCAATTCGTTTGCATGTATGTATAGGATCAGCTGATTCTCAGTGTGCTGATGATTTCCAAGTTCAGTTTTCCTAGGAATTTGGAATGTCATGGAAACAGGAATTTAATAATAAAAATATTAGAAGTTCAATGCATTGTCGAAGGCTTTCATGGCCGGAATCACTGGGTTGTTGTAGGTTTTTTCCGGCTATATGGCCATGGTCTAGAGGCATTCTCTCCTGATGTTTCGCCTGCATCTATGGCAAGCATCCTCAGATGTTTTGAGGTCTGTTGGAACTAGGGAAAAGGGGGTTTATATATCTGTGGAATGACCAGGGTGGGACAAAGGACTCTTGTCTGCTGGAGCTAGGTGTGAATGTTTCAACATCACCTTGATTAGGCCATTATATGGTGTCAGATCATTATATGCTAATCAAGGTGATCAGTTGAAACATTCACGCCTAGCTCCAGCAGACAAGAGTCCTTTGCCCCACCCTGGTCATTCCACAGATATATAAACCCCCTTTTTCCTAGTTCCAACAGACCTCACTACCTCTGAGGATGCTTGCCATAGATGCAGGCGAAACGTCAGGAGAGAATGCCTCTAGACCATGGCCATATAGCCCGAAAAAGCTACAACAACCCATATTAGAAGTTGTCGGAAAGCTACTGAGAGAAACTACTTGAATATTATTACTGGTCTTTCCACTGCCACATGCAGCTATTGGGGAGCAGTGGATCCATTCTACGGCAGACAATGCGGAAGGCAGAATGAGGTTCAACAAACTTAACAGGCATCCTAAAGGAACAGATAGTGCTTCCTTGACCAAGGCTTTATATTCTTTGCAGAGCTTGCGAGATTCCTTGCAAGTAAAATCTGATGAAGTAGTAATGGTAGTTCCATTATGGAAGAAATTATATTTGCAATTTTCAAAGTAGTTATTACAGAGCAGATGCTCATGTGCATAAAATAACTCTCTCTGAATCCTTTTGCAACAACATGTAGTGCAATGCATCTGCTCACTTCCACCTAGATCACATTTTTCATGGATGTTACACAATTCTTCAAAGTTTTATGAAATGCTAGAGCAATGCTTCTTAAACTGTGAATTGCAAGATTTCTTTTCATCTTTCATGAATGGTAAAATTACCATTTATGAAAGATGTGTTAAATGGTAATTTTTAAATATATTTTGTTAAAACAAATTTTGAAAAAATTGTTAAATTTTGTGTTAAAATACATTCTGTTAACACATATTTTGAAAAATTCTCTGTTCCTAGTTTGAAAGTATTACTTCCTGTTTAATTGTGTGGTGCTTACTTTGAAAGTAGTTTTTATGCTCCAGAAACTTCTTTTTTGTGGTTGCCGCAAACTATGTGAAATTAGTCGAGACACAATGAGATATTTATTGAAAAAATATAACAAAATGTGCTATGTTTTAATGATAGAGCCAATTAGGAATTGACATCTAAACCCAGGAACAGAAATCGTATTACATAATGTTATTAGTAAATGTTTGATTTGTATACCTATTTTATATACCTGCATACCTGGAACCACTGAAAAACTCGCTATACAATCTGAGACAAGAGATAGGGGAAGATCACATAAAATCACAAACGATTTCTAGTTTTTTCCGTTCATAATGTTCAGTTATTGTCATCAGGTTGTTTTTGTGTCTTCTCTGTTAGGATATCTGTGTGAGGGCTTACCTTGCACTTCGGAAGCACACGAACCTCCTCATCATCCTGTTTTCTATGATGCTAATGACTGGAATGCCTCAGCTGACTAGCAAAGAAGACATTGAATATATCCGTGATGCTCTGACTGTTGGTAAAAATGAAGAAGATGCTAAAAAGTATTTCCTAGATCAGATTGAAGTATGTAGGGATAAAGGCTGGACTGTGCAGTTCAATTGGTTCATACATCTTGTGCTGGGAATTAAACAAGGAGTAGAAAAACACTCTGCATAATGAAGATGTATACAAACAACTAGTGGGGTAATCCTTTGCTTTTTCTAATGGTTCTCAACAGGAATGGTTGAAAATGCTTCTATGGATTATTCCCCCTGCTGAAGCCATAACTTTACAAAAAAAAAACAAACTTCTTATGGAGAATGGCAGTACAGTACAATGTTGATAGATGAGAGCTTTACTGTGCCAGCTTTTTCTCTCTCTCGGTGCCACAAATATTTAATAAATTATTGATAGAATTAAGATGACAGCACTGAAGTAGAAGCACCATGTTCTTTCCCACTCTGTTTGTTAAAAATATGATGGATTCCTTAAAAAAGGTAGAAAGGTTTCTTGAAAACTATTGGGCATTCAGAATACTTTAAAGCAATATTTTTTTTCTATTTCACCTTAAGCCATTTAATTCTTTTAAGGCCTTCAGTTGTAAATTGTTCCCTTTATTGTAGCTTTAACATGTTTTCTCTGTTTGTAATACTGGCAAAACACTCTTTCTGTATTGTAGAGAACATGTTATGGTTATGCCATTGTAAATGAATAGATCATATGTATTGTTGAATTGTGTGTTATATGCAGTTTGGGCATAGCTAATTAATCTCTGAAAGCCAAAGTACATAGGCCATTCTGATGGCAAGTGGTTCAGATAATCCCTTCGTCCTTTGAAGATGAAGGAGCATATTGTAAGAGCCAATTTACATCTAGGGCAAAATTAAATCACTTGGATATAAGTAGATCCTTGTGGCAGTGATCATCATATGTGGAATATCACTTTGTGCGTCCTCTGCTGCTGCATATGCAAAAACAGTGATGGGAAGCTCTGTACAACTATTTCCACACTTCTAATAGAAGTGAAATAAATTTGGGAAAGACTTTACCAATATATTATTTTTCAAAAGTGTCGTAATTTTTAGTATGAAGATAATCTCCCATGATGAAATGAAAAATACTATTCCTTAAAAAAATGAATTCAGAAAAAATATTGACACTTTTGAAATATAATATATTGGTAAATATAATATATTGGCGAGCTCAATGACATAGTACTCAGCTTTTAAAAGCTTTATAGTAATGGTACTGTCCTATAAAGAAGTGCTATTTAAGAGCTTCTGTTTTTTAAGCAAATGTTTGAAAATCGTTAACACTTATATATTTCCTTTGTACCAGTTTTCTAAGTTTTCAAATATATACTAGTGCCATAATCTAGAAAACTACTTTGGATATGCCCAAAATATGCTTGTATATTTGTGTAACCTTTGACTCAGCATCTCCCACCATTATTTGAAAATGCTTTTACGTTCTCCTGATTTGTAAAAGGACCCTGCTTTGCAGTTAGTAAAGTTGTACATATTTATCTGATCATATCATTTTCTAGTTTGTGGCAAAAATCAAGAAACCCTCTACATTTTTATGGCAGTTGGTTTTTAACTTTTTATTTTTACTATTTTAAAAACAAAATAATTTTTTTTTTTTAAATTGAACAAGTATTTAATATCTCACCATGATAGGAACTAGAGAGACAATATATTCATGATACTGCATATATTAACTATACTTGGTTTATTAACTAGATTAATCTTAATTGGGAGGTTATAATTTAGTTTTCAACCATGAAATCATTGCTGATAGTACCAGCAATAACCTTAATCCAGTGGCAACACCCAGCTAGAGTATACTCAGTAAATTAATGAGAACTTGATAAATAAACACTTACATAACCTCTGTTGATTCATGAGGCGTCTTCTAATTGGTTTTAACAATTGGATTTAGGCCTTGAGTGCTAATGCTTATATTGTATATGTCTGTAAATATCTTAAAAACAAACACAAATTGCATGTACAGGAGAATGAACTGTTTCGCACAGACGAGACAGACAAAATCAATTGGAAGAAATAGGTCACAGCTTTGGTTATAGCTGATAAGGTTGGCACATGCATGAATCTGAATTGGCACCAACCAACCCACCACATATCTCATACATTTGGATGGCCTGAGATGGTCCAGCTGTGCATCTCCCCAGTGTGGTTTTGCCACCAACAGAGAATATAGGGAAAGTTTATATTCCCCCAGCTGGACAGGACCAGTTCCATACCCCACAGTCCCGAGTTCCTTAAGTAGACCCTCATACGGTTGTAGATGAATCTTGGCTATCCAAAGACATACACACATACATATAACAATAATCTTAAACATAAGGAGGAAGGGTGGAACAAAGCTTGGACAGAATTGGGTCTCATAAGGCACAGGCTCCTTAATTTATGCCCAATTATCCAACTGGAGTGAAATCTTTCCCTCCAAGTCACTCTGGCTTGGTAATAAGAACCTGCCAAGCTAACGGAAACTGAGCAGTTTCAAATTTATTGGCTGACACACTGAAAAATGCAAATGGGGGCTTCTTGGGCAGCAGAGCCTCTTGGGAAGGAGGCCCTGGACCCAGCTTAACATGACAGCCACATTCTATGCTCCTGGCCCCTAACCACAACCTGGGCATTGTGTTTGTTGAAAGTTATGCTTATGTGCAGCCCCTTTTTTGGGTTGCTGTGGAGAAAGGAATTCATTACCCTCTTCACACAATAACCAGGACTCACTTTCATTGTGAGCCAGAGTCAATTAGTAGTTAGCAAAGAGTGGGAGTTTCTAAGGAAGCATCTTCCTATGCTCTTATTGCCAGATGCAGAATGACGGATCTTGCAGGGCCTCTGACATTGTTATGTGGCTGGCCCTGGACCCAAAGCCGGGCACTTCTTCCATACTCTTGCTCCCAATTGCCACTAAATGAAGACGAGTTCCGCAGAAGTAGATTGGGAAAGTATATCATGGTTCTACCTGGGTGGACATTTCTAGTGTGTCTCTCAGTGCAGAAGCTTGGCCATTTGTATCCATATGTTCTGTGAGCAGCAGTTCATAAACGAAAAATCACATCAAAAATGAAGCTCACCTCAAAAATGAAGCTCCCTAGATTCCTTGATTTTAAATAACTACCAGCCAATTTCTAACCTCCCCTTTTTGGGCATGGTTCTGGAGCGGGTGGTCGCCTCCCAACTCTAGGGATTCTTGGACAACACCAATTATCTAGATCCATTGCAGTCTGGTTTTAGGCCTGGACATGGTATGGATATGGCTTTGGTCGTCTTGGCGGATGACCTCCGAAGAGAACTTGACAGGGGGAGTGTGTCCCTGTTGGTTCTCCTGGATATCTCAGTGGCTTTTGATACCATCGACTATGGTATCCTTCTAAGGTGGCTCTCTGGAATGGGTCTTGGGGGCATTGCTTTGCAGTGGCTCCACTCTTTCCTTGAGGTCGCTCCCAGTTGGTGAAGCTGGGGGATTCCTGCTCGGACCGTGGCCTTTGACCTGTGGGGTCCCTCAGGGCTCCATTCTATCCCCCATGCTTTTCAATAACTACATGAAACCACTGGGCGAGGTCATCCAGAGTTTTGGAGTTGGGTGCCATCTCTATGCAGATGACACCCAACTCTACTACTAATTTCCACCTAATTCCAAGGAAGCCTCCCAGACCCTGAACCAGTGTCTGACAGCTGTGGTAGACTGGATGAGGGCTAACAGGTTAATCCAGACAAGACAGAGGCCCTCCTCTCGTTCCCACCACTGTCACAATCACAGTTGGTGGGGACGAGAGAGAGAGAGGGCCTTCTCGGTGGTGGCCCCCCACCTCTGGAACGGCCTTCCAAGGGAAATAAGACATGCCCCATCCCTCCCCTCTTTTCGTAAGAGTTTGAAGACTTGGTGGTTTCAGCAAATCTTTGAGAGTGACCAGTGTTAGCTCAGCCCAGACACTGTCCGGACACGACCTGTTACTGTTATTTTTTATTTTGTTTTGATCATGTTGTGACTCTGTATGTTTTAATGTTGTTTAGAAACCGCCCTGAGTCCCCCCCGGGGAGATAGAGTGGTATATAGATAAAGATTATTATTATTATTATTATTATTATTATTATTATTATTATTATTATTATAAATTGTTCCATGTTAGTCCAAGTAACTCTGCATTCTATTTTTCAAGAAAAAAATCTATATAGAATTCCAAAATTTTCCATGTACTGTAATAGTGTAGGGACTTCCTAACAATTTCTTTGTCTTTTATTAAGCTGTTTTCATGCTTCACCTGTCCAATAGAAAAGCCAGAATACTAAAGTTGAGTAAAAAAGCATTTTCTAAGACTCTTGCTTGAATGAATTCAAAAGATAAATCATTTGTACAGTATTTGTAACCTTAATTTTAAAAATGATGTATTCTAATTTTGAAGGAAATTGTGTAGATGATTAATAAAACGTTATTAAAGTATACTCATACATTTTTGTCTCATGAGTTCTTTCTACATTTATATAACTGTGAAACAATTATGCACCAATATAATAAAACAGGAAATAGTGGGTTCAGTAAAATTATAAAATCATCAGTCAAAAAGTAAAAGTGCTCAGTGGTCATAATCCACTTTTACAGCTGTCTTTTCTTGCAGACAAGCTTTATAATTTTATACAAGTTTATTTCGATATTGGGGGTGTGCATTTTCAGATGAATACAATATGTATTTGCTTCATTTCTGCAGCCTATGGAATGTTCTGTCTTTACTGGTCAGAATGTATTTGTGATTTTACAGTACTGTTGATCATCCATACCCATGGAGTTTGTATCCACAGTTTCAACCATCTATGGCTTGAAAATTAGATGGACAATGACAATAACAATGTTGACAATGGCTTGGAAATGGATTATGGATAAGTTTGATGGAACATCCAATCACAGTTTTCAGCTAATAATGGCCACCAGACTGGTAATTCTAAGTCGTTTTTAATTGTATTGTTTTAATGTTTTTAACTATTTCTAATTATTGACTGTTTGTTTTTATTATGTATATATTGAGGCAACAAATTGATGCTAATGGGAAGCCGCCCTGGGTCCTCCCCAGGGGGTTGAGCAGGGCAGGGTACAAATATTTGAAATAAATAAATAAAAATACTAAAAAAGAGAGAAAAAGCTAATCTTGATTTTGCTATTTTATATAGAAGTTGCCATTGTATTATGCCATTATATAGAATGAGACTTGAAAATCGAAAAGAAACTAATTACAGATGAGAAACCAGAAATTAGAGGATTTCCTTTACATTTTAACTTTGTGGTAATTAGCTAGTAGGAACCAATTACTTCAACTCTGTTTTTCTCAGTTTTTACAGATTCCTAAGAGGACCAAAGGTTTTGAAATAAACATACATTCTAGAGAATTATGTCAATTGTGTAATTAGAAAGTTGTATGCAAAATCTGTGTATAACATGCTTTCAGTTATTATTTTCTTCTGAATTATCTAACGTCAATATAAATTGTAATGGGTTATAATTAAACAGGTTTATTTGACTTCTATCATACTACATTACGCATGTTCCCATTTTAAATAGTGTATTTTGCCTTAGCTACCCATGGTAGCTAAGACAGTGAGCTGTCCTTTTTCCTCAGTTTAAGTATTATTCAGCACCTCCTCTGAGTTCTTAAGATTTCAGCACACATTGCTCATCTATTCTAACCATCTGGCTAGAAATATTCCTACTCTACAGTGAAAAAATGGCCTTTGTGACGTGATGTGAAACCAGCCAGCAAACACAAGAAATCATTCAAATGGTTTAAATCCTATATATGGCATAGTCCTAGATAACCAACTATTAGCAATTGTACTACAGAATTAGAGAGAGATAAATGAAAGAATAAAATTGCGTATTTAAAAGGAGAATGTGTCAATATGGATACTGTTAAAATCCCATGATTGAAAAGCTAATGTTATGTGAGCTGCCTCATCTCTGCAGATCTAAAAACTGGGAATACTTTTACAACCATGACTTACAGTTATTACCTTATTTTAAAAACATATCTCTGGGCCCTTCCACACAGCCAAATAACTCAGAATATCAAGGCAGAATAATAATAACAACAATAGCAATCATAATATAAAACTTGATTTCTATCTCACCCTATCTCCTGAAAGGGACTCATGACGGTTTACAACAAAAATTGGCAAACATTAAAAGCCAAGAAAAACATAACACAACACATCAAATAATGGGCAGTCAAATAAACAACTTCAAGGCATACTTATAAAACAACTCAAAAATAACAAATTGAAACTTAAAATATACAAATAAAACAATTGGGACATATTTCTATAATAATAATAATAATAATAATAATAATAATAATAATAATAATAATAATAATAGATTAAAACATTTAAAATTTGTGGCTGGCCATCCAAGCTGAAGGAAGTCTCCATTAGTTGAGTCAGAGTTTAATATGCTAATCCTCCTCTCCGTACACTTGAATACATGGGTAAGTTTTTAACAGCTTCTTGAGAAGGGAAGGGGCAGTTTTCAATTATTTCAGGAGGGAGTTTATTTATTATTTATTTATTTCAGTTACTTCTATTTATTTATTATTTATTTATTTGGGGTTCTTATACCCCGCCCTTCTCACCCCGAAGGGGACTCAGGGCGGCTTACAAGAGCAAGGCACGATTTAATGCCTGCGTCATAAACAATCATACACAAATTTACATAAAATTACAACAATTCACAGATGACATGCATGCAATATAACCATAAAATCAATAAAATCATTAAAACCAAATACAAACCCAGTTTTTCCTCTTACATGGTCAGTGTTTGTTAACACCTAGATCTAGATTTTCGTTCCATTCAACCATCCTGCTGGTCTTGCTTGCCTAATTGAGTGATTTAATTACCAGAGTGCCCAAAGGCCTGGTTCCATAACCAAGTTTTCACCCTCCTCCTGAAGGCGAGGAGGGATGATGATGTCCTAATCTCCCCCGGGAGTGAGTTCCACAGGTGGGGGGCCACCACTGAGAAGGCCCTGCTCCTCGTCCCCACCAGCCTCACTTGTGACAGTGGTGGGGTCGAGAGCAGGGCCTCCCCAGATGATCTCAGACTCCGAGGTGGGACATAGAGGGAGATACGTTCGGACAGATACACTGGACCGGAACCGTACAGGGTTTTGTAGGTCAAAACCAGCACCTTGAATTGTGCTCGGAACTGAATCGGCAGCCAGTGGAGCTGGCATAACAGGGGGGTGGTATGCTCCCTGTATGTCGCTCCGGTGAGCAATCTGGCTGCCGCTCGTTGGACTAGTTGAAGTTTCCGAACAGTCTTCAAAGGCAACCCCACGTAGAGAGCGTTGCAGTAGTCTATTCGGGATGTAACAAGAGCGTGGACCACCGTGGCCAGATCAGACTTCCCGAGGTACGGGCGCAACTGGTGCACAAGTTTTAGTTGTGCAAAGGCTCTCCCAGCCACAGCTGAGACCTGGGGTTCCAGGCTCAGCTGTGAGTCTAGGATCACCCCCAAGCTGCGAACCTGCGTCTTCAGGGGGAGTGTAACCCCATCCAACACAGGCTGTAACCCTATACCCTGTTCGGCCTTGCGACTGACCAGTAGGACCTCTGTCTTGTCTGGATTCAATTTCAATTTGTTAGCTCTCATCCAGTCCGACACAGCAGCTAGACACCGATTCAAGGTCTGGACAGCCTCCTTGGTGACAGGTGAAAAGGAGTGACAGATCTGGACATCATTCTACCCCGCCCTTCTCAACCCCGAGGGGTACCTTACAAGGAAGGCACAAATCCGATGCCTATATCAAATATACATACATACATAAAAGCAGTTAAACAGTTAACAGGTTAAAAAGTTAACAGGTTAAAAACATCAGTACATAACATAATAGTAAACAATCTCATGCTCAGTGTTCAGAGTTCCATAGATCCATTCTGTTCTGTCAATTCCTGCCCATCATCAAGGTCTTTTCTTTAGCTGCCAGACTGTCCAAAAGCCTGGTCCCACGTCCAGGTCTTCAATTTTCTTCTGAATGAAAAAAGGGAAGTCGCTGATCTAATCTCCCCGGGGAGTGAGTTCCACAGGTGGGGGCCACCACCGAGAAGGCCCTGCTCCTCGTCCCCGCCAGCCTCACTTGAGATAGAGGCGGGGTCGGGCCTCCCCAGAAGATCTTAGACTCCGAGGTGGGACGTAGAGGGAGATCCGTTCGGACAGATACACTGGGCCGGAACCATATAGGTTTTGTAGGTCAAAACCAGCACTTTGAATTGTGCTCGGAATTGGATCGGCAGCCAGTGGAGCTGACACAACAGGGGGGTGGTATGCTCCCTGTATGCCGCTCCGGTGAGCAATCTGGCTGCCTCCCGCTGGACTAGTTGGAGTTTCCGAGCAGTCTTCAAAGGCAACCCCACGTAGAGTGCGTTGCAGTAATCCAATCGGGATGTAACAAGAGCGTGGACCACCGTGGCCAGATCCGACTTCCCAAGGTACGGGTGCAGCTGGCGCACAAGTTTTAATTGTGCAAAAGCTCTCCCGGCCACCGCCGAGACCTGGGGTTCCAGGCTCAGCGATGAGTCCAGGAGCACTCCCAAGCTGCGAACCTGCGTCTTCAGGGGGAGTGTAACTTTGCCTAACACAGGCTAACCCTATGCCCTGTTCGGCCTTACAACTGACCAGTAGGACCAGAGGTGGGGAGCAATCACGGAAAAGGCCCCCTCTCTTGTTCCCACCAGCCGTGCTTGAGAGAAGGGCCTCCTCCACGGATCACAGTGCTGATGTTGGTTTATACACGAGAGGCAGTTTTTCAAATAGTCTGGACTCGAACCATTTACAGAAGCAACCTGGACTCTCAATTAAATTCCACGTTCATACTAGTAATGAAACGCTGCCCTCCAAAGAGGGGCAGACTTGTCTTTGGGATGGCATAGATATATCTACCCTCCAAGAAAAGAATCTATGAGGAGGGACTTCAGGACAATTGAATTGAGGTCCTTTTCCTGCCACCCATAGCATTTGCCATTAGTTGCGAGTTTACTGGACTGATGTCTGTGTGCATGCTTTCCTGGTACAGTAGGACCCCTGTATCTGCAATGAATACATCCAGGAACTATGGAAACAGGAAACCAGTGAACTCTATTGAAATTATTTCCACTGGAAGTTACCATAAAGTCATCCTGAAAAACTTCAAGAATTCCCAGGTAGGTATTATTTCTAGAAATTTGCTAGGTCCCCTAGGGTGCTCTTCTAACAGAACCATAGGATAGACTCTAGAAAATTCCTAGAGATGACATAGTTTGTCAGATGTGGGTTAGTAAAATTGTGGGTTCTGGTCATACTGTATGTATCCACCTTGCATACCTGTAAATGAATAGATGATATAACCCTCCTGTTTAAGGAGCTCCACTGGCTGCCGTTTATTTTCTGGTCCCAATTCAAGGTGCAGGTTATCGCCTATAAAGCCCT